CATCACAATAACTCTACAGGATCCAATCTCTTGACTGGCACTCTACCAACGGAATTTGGAAATTTACAAAGTCTGGGTTGGCTCGAACTATGTAAGTAAACAGAATAGGAATGCTGATGGCACAATGTGTGTGTGTGTGCGTGTGTGTGAAAGAGCTCCAAACGTTTTGCGTTTTGGGTACCTGACGAATGAATCTCACATATATATATATATGAATGTTTGCATGTACATGATGACCACTAGATGACAATGATCTTTCCGGTGTCATACCTACGGCCATTGAAACCATGACAAGTCTGCGAGATGTTTCATTTGGTGAGTTATTACCCTACTGCATGTGCCGTCTTGACGTGCCATAATTGCCATTGTCATTGCTTTCTAACAATAGTATGGATGATTGATTGATTGATTCGCATTGATTCGCATTGGTATACAGAGGAAAATTTTAAGTTATCTGGAAGCATACCCAGTGGGATTGGATTGTTGACCAATTTGGAGGAATTCAATGCCAGTAAGTTGTGTGTTTTCGACCATTTTTATGGTACTCATACAAATAGCACTGGAGTACTGTGTCTGATCACCATTTACGTCGTTTTTTCATCATTCAACAGATGAATGCAATCTCAATGGAACCATACCTTCCGAAATTGGAAGGTTGGCTTTACTGGAGACCTTTTCACTATCCAAGAATAGGGAACTTTTCGGGAGCATTCCAACCGAAATGGGTTCGTTGTCCAGTCTTGAGCGACTGTACCTCTCGTTCACGGACATAACTGGCCCCATCCCTGCCGAGCTTGGACAAATCACTAGTTTGGCCTACGTCGAACTTCAGGAGAGTCTCTTGACTGGGACGGTACCGACTGAAGTGTGTGCCATGAGAAACTCATCGCTCAATCGCCTCATTGTAGACTGCTTCCCAAAGCCAGATACAAACTTGACGGAAATCGAATGCCTTGTCCCAGACTGTTGTACGGAATGTCACTAAACGGTGGTGGACCAATTGAGCATCAGTGATGATCAGCTACCAATGGCAAAGGATCCAAATCTTCCACATGGACTCGTTGGCGATTCTTTCTTCTTTCGCGATTTTGGCATTGCCTGTCGCAAATCGTATACAGTACTACCATCAGGACGCATATGTAACAATGATACTTTTTCTATTTATAGTTCATAATAGTCCTCGTCAGCTCGGCCTCTCGTTTCATCGAGTATATCAGTCAAGGTCCAGCCCATCCAATTCTCCCAAAAGTAGAGCTGCCATGAAGAGTGTCTTCTCGTATCTTACATCTTCCGCCAGATGCTGCCAATCTTGGGGGCCATCCCAGTGAGTATAGATTATGAAACTGGTATCGATATATTTCACCTTGGAGGTGTTTTTCAGCTCATGCTCAATCAGCTGATTGACAAAGGAGTATCCATCCATCGTTGGTGGAGTTCTCCAATCCGTACATCTGGTAATTCGCCCGTTGAGAGGACTGTGGTCAAGGGTAGGCAGATATATCATCCCATCGGTATTATTTTCAATCGTTTTCAAAATGTTTTGCACATGCTCCTTCACCTGGTCGTGATATTTGCCAAATTTGAATGGATTACCCCCGGTGTGAATGCTTGCAGGCCACTGTCCTATCTGGACGAACAATTTCTCACAGCCACTACCACTCAGTTTAGCTTCGATTTGTCCTGGCTGAGGCCAATTGGATCCGATGTATCTAAACATACCAGTCAGGTTAGCCACAGGGAGTGTATCTCTGACCATCCGTTTGCTGTGAGAGTCTCCAACTGCGCACATCTTGGGGAATGTCGAATTCTCGTGCATTCGTTGTCGGAGCCTATCAATAAGTTCTGCTCCGTCCCCAGTAGTAGTAATATTGAGGCCCCACTGAAACTCATACTCGGGTAGCCCACGAATGTCCTCGCCTTGATAATCTCGCCAAAGTCCTTTGCTAGGTATATCTCGACCGGTAAATGCACTGCACTGCTCTTGCAATTCCGCTGACAGTCTCTTCCCAAAGCATGGTTTTGGCTGAGATCGTGTGAATAAAGGTCGGAGCGGCAAACCTTTCCGCCGCACCCAACGTCCGATACGATAATTCCCAGTCCCTGAAGTGGGGGATGTTATCAATATCGTACTATTGGTTTTCGATGTGATTCGATTGTTCATCGGGTCTTCCACATTGCACCTCAATGTCGTATTGAACCATGCCGTAATGTTGTTGTCATGGATTCTTCCAATAGTTCCAACTCCAAAGTCTTCACAATACAAAACTATGATCTCCAGAAAGTACTCTCCAGCGTCAAGCCACTTATTGCTGTAGCTACCACATAACATAGTCCCTGCAACAGCTCCATCTATTTCCAGTTCTTTCCAATCCAAGATTGCCAGCGCTGGTCCTGATAGTCTACCAAGCAAGGCAGGATGTGGACACCTCGCATCTTCCTTCAAATGAATGCAAACGGATCCACTATAGGGATCGTGCCATATTCTAACAATGTCGGTGTCAACGGTCGAATTTGGATTTGTCGGAATGGAAGGCAAAAACATGCTCGTATTTGTTGTACTGTTGACAAGGTGGTCTAATGATGACAGAATTGACGGTTTTTCGGAGATGGTGTCGTTGCTCGGGAGATTATCTTCTTCCAATATGCCGGTACTATTGCCCAATGTTTCATGTGATGGATGTAGCGTTTCTTTGGATACGGCAGTATCGTTGCTTGGGAGATTATCTTCTTCCAGTGTACTGTTCACTAGTGATGATGACGCTTCAGGTGATGGACTTAGCGTTTCTTTGGTTACTGCAGTATCGTTGCTTGGGAGATTATCTTCTTCCAATGTACTGTTCACTAGTGATGATGACAGTTCAGGTGATGGACTTAGCGTTTGTTTGGATACCGTGTCGTTGCTCGGGATGTTATCTTCTTCCAATGTACTGTTGACTAGTTCCGATGATGACGGTTCAGGTGATGGATTTAGCGTTTCGTTGGATACTGTGTCGTTGCTTGGGACATTGTCTTCTTCCAATGTACTGTTGACTAGTTCCGATGATGACGGTTCAGGTGATGGATTTAGCGTTTCTTTGGATATTGTGTCGTTGCTTGGGATATTATCTTCTACCAATAATACACCGTTTTCATTGCCCAATGTTTCAGGTGACGGATTCAGCGTTTCTGTGGATACGGTGTCGTTGCTTGGGCTATTCTTTGCTTCCACTTTTCCGTTTTTCAGACGCTCCTTGGGGACAGCGTCCTGACTTGGACTAGTTGCATATGCATAGTATTTCAACAAACCGTTGTCGCCTTGTTCGTGCACGAAGAAAGAAACCGAAAGTATGAAGATAAAACCCCAGATCCGCAGATTCTTTCTATTGCCGAAATTTATCTCTTGTTTCTGTTGGATCATGTTATGCCTTGCGAATAATGTAATCTTCCTCGTTTCTCTCGTTGCGACGGTGATGGGTACCGGTACGATGACGACGATTTCTCAGTTGATTTGATGGTGGTCATGAACACGATGTCCATAAAAATAAAAGAAGACTATACATACGCAAGGACAATAATAATAATGACTCTCTTCGGATTTTCGGCGTCACATAACACGCGTGAACCAGCCGAAATGGCCACTGCGGTCGATTAAATCAATCCATCGCCACGAGAAGTTGCATGGTACTCGCTCATTATTTTACCGGTAGGACCTAGACTGCTTCCTAAAGCCCAACTTGACGGAAATCGAATATTGCCTTATTGTCCCAGACTGTTGTACGGAATGCCACTAGCCGGTGATCAGCTACCGCCACCACCCTTGGCAAAGGATCCAAATATTCCCCATGTATTCGTCGGTGGGTCTTTCTTCTTCGTTGGCGGGTTTGTATTCCACGGCATTGCCTGTCGCAAATCGTTGTTCTCACTGGTTCCAAATCGAAAATACGATTGCCCTGTGCGATAATACCGTTTACTACCATCAGGACGCTTGTAGTAATGATACTTTTTCTTATCATACCTTCCCAGTACTCTTGCCATGTTCATGGAACTTGCCCTGGATGGTACGTATTCATCATCCCCTCGCCCTCGGGCTCTCGTTTCATCGAATATATCTTGCATTCGTTCTGCAAGTTCTGCAACCCAAGATGGCCAAACAACTCCAAGAAGTATCGCCAAAACGCCCAGAACTAATGGGGAAATGGCAAACAATGCTCCTGTAGCATATATGACCAACAACGAAGCAACAACGGCTCCAATTCGGGTTCCCAAAGCATCCATGCCGCTAAACTTCATATCTTGTCGAATTCCGCTCACAAACTCACCCCAAAACTTGGAATTGGAGTTTAGAATCATGGTGACAAGTCGTTTCCAACCTCGGCCAATGTAAAATTGAAGATTGTAGAAATACTGGACGGCCCTGTATCTGGATGTCTTTTGCTTATTGGCTCGTCGTCGTTTCGCTTGTTCGTCGACCAACCACACCGTACGAAGTCCTGCCAGCATGGTACGCCCAACTTCATTTTGCTTCTCCCAATTGTCAAACTTGATCTTTCCTTCTTGAAATCTAGCATTCCAAGCATCCATTTTGTCTTGAATGGCAAACCTCTTATCCAAAGCTTCGTACTGCTTGTAGTATTCGTAACTCAGTTGACCAGTTTTGTAGAGGAACCAAACTCCTTGCCACTTGTCGTACAAATCTAAAGTACCTTTGGCAAGTTTGCGACCACTTTCGAGACAGAAATTAGGCACGACGCCTTTGGGTGGAGAAGCATCTTCGTCTCCCGAAAAGTTGGAGATTCCATACCCATAGAAACTTCCCAAGGCCAAACCCAGGAGCCATAGATTCGGGAATATGGTAGTTGCAATAAGGATACCATAAGTGGCAGAAACTAAAGTGGTAGCTCGACGAAGTGCCCTGTAACTTAGAATGCTTGGTTGCGGAAAGGCAACGCCCTTCTCTGTTCGTCGTCGTTTCGGGTCCGACGATACTACCAAGGAATCATAATTGTCGTCGTCTTCAAAAGATGATGGTACTTTCCTCTTGTCACGAAACGCCAGTCCACCTCCTCCGAAGATACCACCACCGCCACCAAGATCATCTTTTCGGACGTATCCGTTGTACTGTAGTATTTCCTGAAGATCGGATAGAGTAAGAGTGTCGTTGGGTTGTACTTTGCCTTCCAGCAGAGGAGGTAGTGTCAAATTTTCACTCTTCGAGGAACCTTTGGATTTGTAATGGTTGCTGGACCGTGATGACGATGATGAATCCGAATAATTGTGGCCGTACGGATTGTAGAATCCCTTTGTAAAACCGGATTTCGACGATGAGTATGTAGAGGAATAATTCTTCCAGGAATCAAAGGAAAACGCCGGGAAATTGTTGCTGTATACGCTGAAGTCGATTCCTTTGAATGGTGATGATGATGCCAAGGGTGATGATGATGCCAAGGGTGACGATGTATTGATATCTTTTTCAACCTCTGCCACGGAAGCAGTAGTGGCATTCCAGAGATCATGGTATTGTGAATCTTCGAGGGTAAAGTTCATTTCCAATAATTCCTCCATGTCTTCGATATTATCAGAAATATCTTTTTCATCATCATCATTGTATCCGGAAGACGAATTGTTGGAATGAAGAGAATTTTGGTCATTCTGAAGAGTCGTCAACTTTGTGTCATCTTCCGTGTTGTCTCGTGGATTCGCTGATGCATTCTTCTCTTTCCTAGGTGGTTTCAGAACTGTTGTCCATACAAAAGAAGGAATTAAATGACGGCGGGGTGAAACAGAGAAGGGCGAAGATGGCTTTGGCATGATTGAATGTTGCCGGAAGGGATGACTATGATGATTTCTCAGGAACGCAACCACTGAGGTAAACGTAAACGTCAGTTGTAGAATGAAAAGTATCAGGCTGAAGGCTCTTTTATTTCTCAAGAGAGATGTAGATATTCTCTGCATTATCGTTGTTCTGTATTTGTATGATAGTACTGTGGTGAAGGTGTAATGTTACAGTGTTGTATGGTAGAGGTAGAGGTATTCGATGATGTCTCTATTACGCTTGTGTCGTGTCATCATTATTCTTTTTCTTTATTTTGGGGAGAAGAATTTTGAAAATTGCATTCAGTGAGCGAGCCCATTGCAACTATCGTTTTTTTTAGCTCACTTCATTCACGTGAAAAATCAAAGGTATAGTCTTTTGTACTGCTGCTATTCTAAAGCAATACTGTACTGTACTCTATTTCTACCCTAAAAAGTCTACAAGGGATGGAGCTCGTTTTTTTTCACCAGCTCCCAAAAGAGTCCGGAATTGCGAAACCGCTGTCCTTCCCAATGCAACATGAGGTTCATCTTTTGGCAAAGGTATCACTCCTTCCGTCAAACTCCTTCTTCGGATACAATTGCTGGCTTCGATTCCAGTGACGTAGGCCTTTTCTTGAGACCAGGACCCATGGCGTGTGCGCACTAGATCTCCGGCAAAATAAACATTAGATAGCGCTTTTGATTGAACATCTGGCATATCCTTGTAGGATCCCGGAAAGTACCAGTTGACAGCATTCGGTAGTTTGACAATGGCGGCGTCCACGACCTTAGCTGCTGCGCATTCGACACCAAGAATGGTGTTGAGATCTTGTTTGACCTTTTTGGCAATGTCGTCATCACTCATCACTAGCAATGTATCTGCATGGTAGTAGTCCACTTCCAAGACCGAGCCAGGGGATTCATCCGAGAAGTTCTCTCCATGCAAGTCCTTGACGTTGAAATAGGTCATTCCAACGCCTTGGTCAAAACCCCAACAAGCATTGGCACTATAAGGCGTCTTTATTTCTCTGTCCAAGAAGATTCTGGTAGCAAGCACACTGGTTCCTCGCAAGTTGGCAAAGCGTCGGTACTCTGCAAAGCGCGATAATTCTGGGCTGTTTCGGACAATTGCATTCAAGGCAGCAGCTCCAACTGCAAAGATGACATGGTCCGCTTCCAAAGAAATCTCCTTGTCACCATCAACTGCGCACTTGATGCTAGATATAGAGGATCCTTCTTTTGAAAGATTGAATCCAGTGACACGGGTGGAAGACTGAAAGATGACTGGATTTTTCTGCGACTTCATTCTTTCGACCCATGGGTCAAATATCTGTTCCCCAATATTTCCCTTGCACCATCTCACATCAAAGGCCTTTTGCTTGCTCAAAACAAAAAAATATGCCATGCCCAGAGCAGCCGCCGCAGAGCATTCGGCACCCGGAGCAAATAGACCCGTCAGAATCATTGGCTCAAAAGCTTCTTCGTAACAACGGTTGGACACCCCTAATTTGACACACAAATCTCGAAAGGATGCCTTGTCAAACTTTTCCCAGGATTCTGGAGAATCGTCAAACTCTGAAAACGCTAAAACCAGAGGGAAGGCCGTCAATCTATCAATGATTGGTAGATTCATAAACTTGGTGTAGAAGGCTTGTGCCAAACCAGTTGGAAGCTGTGTCTGATCTCGGTAGACGGCCCAGACAGCCTCCAGACCATCAGGTGAATATTGCCCTTGTTCTGCATAATCTGTCAGAGCGGTATCAAAAATTCCCAAGTCTTCTTTCAGTAGCTTGAAAATATTGAAGTATTGATCCCAAAATCCGTGTTGCCCAGCTTCTGCTTTTCGTTCTCCTGTCATGGATCGGAATCCATCTCGTACCAATCCACCAACACGAGGAGCAGCATCTACCACGGTGACCTCATAGTTGGGATCAGCTGAAAGAGCATAGGCGGCGCTGAGTCCACCCCATCCGGCACCAATGACTACTGCTTTTTGCTTTTTGGGTCCGTCAGCTGTGGTTGTCGTGGTTTTTGTTTCAGATGGTGTGTCGTTTGGTGTACTGAACAGGCGAAAGTTTTGATTTTGTCGTGCTGTAGGAGCTAATCCATGTATCAGAGACGCTTGGAATGATAATGCAATTGAAAATGCCAGAGCAGCTGTTCTACTATTGCTCCAAGACACCATATTGTTGCGCGTTAGTATTCTTCTTTGATGTGACGTTGTGGAGTAAAAACGACGACGAGTGCGATAGGATAGTGAACGCATGCGCATATATATCTATGATATGATAGTGAGTGATGCGGGGAATGACGTCACAAAGCAACACAGAATGATGGTCAATTTAGTCAAATATTGTGCAATATAAAATATATTATATTCTCATAGCGGTTTCTCCGGATCCCGAAAACTGTTCCAAGATTATCAAGGATGCTCCCGCCATAAAGACTGAGGTATGCATGGGCCCAACAGACATCACTGAGTCAGAGGCCATGCAGGTTTGTTGCTCTGCGAGCAAGTTTCCGCCCAGCAACTACAGCAGCGCTATGAACTAATAGGAGGGGTTCTTCGGCTTCTATTTCTTGCCAACAGTCCTCTTCCTGTAAGAGGATATAGCAATTCTGTTTTGCGGGACATCGCTCAATGCCAGATTTTTGCATTAAATGATCTAGCAGAAAATCCATGGCGCATCGACAGTGGCAGTGTGGCCTCCGAGTTCAAGAGCCTCTGGTATTTGTACCATCTCATACCAGACGAGTTGTTCACATCATACAGGATTGAGCTTTGTTGTGACAACGGCCGAAAGCTGCTGCGACAGCGGCTGGAGTACCAAGAGCTTTTGTTATAGTAGCTGCCTTGTTCGACAGCTGTTTGTTACGACATGCCTTCATTTGCAACATAGTGCAAGAGTTCGAGGAATTGACAAAAATAGAATCAATAAAAGGGTAGTTCAGAAGATCCGGTAGCATGTACCCACCACCATTTTCGTGCACTGCCACCCGTTGTGACTGCAACTTGTCAATATTATTATCCTGCAGAGCAAATGTTGTCGCCTGCAGAGGAATGGCTACATGGAAGGTGCTTGTTGTGGAAATCGCCGTTATGTTTAGCTTCTTTGCCGTGAGATTAATCCCATCCACAAGGATCTTTTCGTGAACATAGGCTTCAAAGCGGAGCCCTTGCAGCGTACCTACCGGTAACATTTGATCGGTGTTGTAAAAGATGGTTATACCGCAGGAGGGCATAGTCACAAAGCAACTATCAGGCGCACCACCGGGTTTGACGCAATACGCTCTCGTCCTTTGCAAAACTGTTCCCATAGAGCCCTTTTCCGGTTTCTGGGTACACCAGTAACATGGTGTGCCTGTTGTCTACACTTCATGTAGTGTTCCCAACACCAAGTAAGCCAGTTGTGCCTTGGACACTGGTGAAGCCTCGCCGGCCCAAATGACCAATCAATCATCACATGGTGGTTGCCAATTTTGAATTCAGTTCTCAACTATTTGGACAACGGGCAGCAGTGAGGAAGCACAGTTTTGATATGTCTCCTGAACAAGTTCTTGAGTTTTGTTCCGAATGTAAGTTGACCCTTTTATCTGACTGCGTGGTTTTTGCGCTTATTATTGTGAGCCATGTAGAGTCCATGTGCCTGTTCAGTGTCCTACTACTCTTCTGATTCTTTCTTGGCTCTATTCTACAGCCGTACACGTGTACTCAGCAAAAGTGAGGAACCCTGTGATGTTGCAAATGGATACTGTATGACAAGCTCATGGCAGAAAGTTTGTTTGGAGCTGAACATAGTCTTTAGTCGAATGAATCAAATGATGTTGCATTTCATCTCACTCAGCTCCAATCAACTGAAAATCCAGCTACTACTGGCATCTTTCCAGCCAAGAACAGGGTATGGATATGATCGTCCAAAAAGACTTCAAGCAGATCTTCCCTTGGGTTGACAGTCAAAAAGAGAATGTGGAATGGAGTCATTCCAAAGTCATCCATGATGAGCGGCAACTCGTCATTCTTTGTCTTCTGAATACACCGACAAGGATCTTGAGCGCTAGTAGAGGAATGGTCATAGTAGCAGCTCTTGTGGACAGGAAAGCTGTCGAACCAATTGGCGTACCAAACCGGTGGCAATATACTCTCTGCTTCTTCACCGAAGCGTGCTTGCAATAGTGTGTGCATTCTGAAAAAGAGTCTCAATCGACTTTGGACCCTTGCGGAAGGACAAGGTTTGGGAGAGACTTGCAGTTCAAGAAGGAGCTGGTTCCAATTTTGTTTGTAGTGAACGACAATGAAAGAACACATGACTGGGAATTGCCGTGAGGCACGTGGTTGACAAAATTACCTCTAGCAAAGCGGAGCAGTTCTGAAAAGCAGCCCCGCCAATAAAATTGACAGAGGGGGAATCAATCCTGATTCTTGGTATTAACGGACAAGAAGAACTGAAAGCTCTGTTGTCAATTGTCGCTAACCGATGGGCGGAGGACGATGAACATTCAAATTCTGCGTTCGTCAGGCTGTGACAATATGAAAATGCATCATTCCCAATAGATTATAATGAGCTACAAATCTTGATTTCCAACAGATACATCGTAGTAGATGAGTGATGCGGGTCGAGTAAAAGTCGTATGTATGTGTATTACGGCGGACGGACCGCTATATGACCCATTTGATATATCGATATATTGCAATATTCTGAATTCATATTATCGTCTTACTTCTCAGCTTGGGCACCACACCATCTATACATACATAATACAAAATGACTATACTGCACTTAATATGCTTCGCTTCTCTGTTGTTTATGCTTATTGTTGATGTGGGATACTGCTTCGTCCCAGCTTTTTCTGCAGTAGTGGCGCAACAACAACAAGACTCAAAGTCCATGATGATTGCGAATAATGGAAGATCTTCATTATTGTCACCGCGGTCAACCTTTCAATTATGCATGGTTCGTAATATCGATTTGGTGGAGGCAATAATATTTTACGGCAAGGACAGTCTATTCGTAGCAGATGATGGCAATGATGAAAATGATAGTAACCTGGAATTGTTGTTGGCAGGAGTGGAGAATTTGGTGGACGAATGCATCCGTGATGAGACGGCCGTCTTGGCAATTTTACCGAACGATAATGTTTGCAATGATGATTCTTATTTATCCGTTATCCCCAAAGAAATTACGATACACAGAGAACTTCAAACTCCTCCCAATCCACGAGATCTATGGACCGCCATTCATTCCACACAGGTCCAACCGAAAGGATTTGGTGGTTCTTCGGGATTTGGTCGCAAGGCGGCGGATCCGGAACGATCCCCGTTGCCCAAACATTGCGTCGTCTTGTGTCACACCGAACATCAATGTCGAGCCGCACGGTTTGCGGGGATGCGAGTCCTGTGTTTGACCGATAATGATTTGGCGGATGGAATCATGTTGGATGATTGTTGGGAATCCATCTGCATGGATGATATTGCCACCCCAGGATCCTTTTGGTTGAATCCACCGCATCCCAAAGATGATGAGGGAAATGCCATAGACATTGACCAGGTTATGGCTTTTTTCGAATCATCCTCGGGTGGAGAGGAATCAGAGGGTTCTAATGGTGTGCCAGGGAGCGCTTCATCGGAATATGTCGCAGCAGTATCAGAGGAGCTAGATGACGATCAGCTAGCTGCAATGCTTGCGGATATCGACAGTCTATAATAAGAACAACCATGTTTGAATATAGGTTACGCTAATTGTATGATTATGATAGTACTTTATTTTCATTGTCATTGAATTTTATATCAGAGAGGGTGGTAGGTCCTACTGTAGCTGGGTACTAACTTCGTTGGTGTCAATCATCCTGATCATTGTCGTCTTTTGTCTAAGCTCGAACCATGCATTTTATGGCATAATCTTGTCATAGAATCCCTCTGGAACATCGCAGGGTTCCTCGCCTTCGCTTAGAACACCTATATACATGGGGGAGGGTACAAAGAGTGAGTGAGTGAGTGAGTGAATGAATGAAGCAATGAATCATGACAGATGGACAATGAGACGACAGTGGGCATATATGATTGATTGCGGCTGGATGCTGTACAATCTTCGATCCACAGTCAAGACAAAAGGATTAACTTACAGTCAGTGCAGAACTCAATAACTTGTTCAGGAGACATATCGAAGCTGAAGGCCCAAGGTAAGAAGAAATAAGGAAAGAAAGAATTCAAACAAACAAGATACTGTTAGAATGATGACACCTATCCAAAAGAGAAATCCATTACAACCAATCTCATTTGTTCACTTACATGTCTTCATAAACATCACAATGTCCAGTGGCAATGCATCGATCCGCACAATACTGTGCTGGATTCTTCTCGGCCATGCGTCGATCCTTGCGTTCTTGGCGCAATTCGTCGCCATCATTTTCTAGCACGGCCACAAAGTCGGATTCCATTCGAGAGAGGACAGCGGCACGATTCTTTTTCATCCATTCGTTTTCGTATTCCTTCTTGTGAGATTCACGATCCAATTCACCGTCAATCATGTCGGCCACCCAATCTTCCAAAAAGAGAACCGTGGAGGATGATGTGGGTGGTGCTGTGGCCACTTGTGCTGGCTTGTGGTTCTTGTTCGGTAGAGAGGAAGGGGATAGGAAGGCATTTGTCATGGTGCTGGCAGATAGCAGCGTTGCAATTACTAGCGTGGAAGAAGAGTATTTCATTGTAAAATAGATGATTTGTTGGATTATGGCAATAATAATGGATTATTTGTGATGGATTGATGATTCGTTTCGTGGAGAAGAAAAATCGAAGCATGGTTGAAAATATGAGAAGCCCTTTCTGATTCATTCCTGTCACGAGGTGAAGCCTTGTCATTGGCCCAAGATGTGTCACAAAGGACATGAGTATTTCTGATGGAGAAATGGCGAAATGGGCTTCTGATCAGAACATACTTCAATCGACGTAGTCGCACTCACTGCTTTTGTCGCATTAATTTGCTTCCGTCCATATCAAAGAATTTTAGACGATGATATCCAAGTCATCGCTATCGTCGCTATCAAGCCGCAGTCTTCCAAAGAGAGGGCTATCATCGAAACCATATTGTCATGGTGAAATGAAGGTACCGCGGTGTTTGGGAAAGAAGCGCTCTCTATCATCTTCTTCCACTGCTGCGTCATCAGCAGTAGCAGCATCATCATCATCATCATCATCATCGACGTTCATCGGCAGTAATCATCAAGATGACATCATCTTCCATTGTAGAAGCCGACCAAATAGCTGCTCGTTTCGTAATCGCAGCTACAGCAGCAGCAGCCTTCTGATGAAAAGTGCAATGGAAAATGTCATGGACGAGGATGAGAATAATACTAATAACAACAAAACTGCTTTGGTTCACTACCCAGGCACCACTCGACTCTCGTATCCAAATGACAACAATGCTGAGAATGACGAGTCTTTTGAATTGGTATTGGACGACTTTACGATTGCCAAACCCGAACGAAAAGGAGGCGGCCATCTTTTACTAGGACGAAATGGATCTGGCAAGTCACTCTTGGTGGATTTCTTGCACAAACCAGAGAAATATTGCAATAATAAAGGAGCGTCGACGACCACTCATGAAGCCTACGACGTTGCGTCCGTCTCCTTTGACTCGCACAAAGAACTCCTTCGGGATCATCCGGATGCATCCGTCTATCGAATCCTTACCGAGGATGGCTTTGGCGGAACCCTTTCGAAGTCGGCGCAATACCTCGTCGTTCGATTTGGTCTCTTTCCATTGTTGTACCGAAAAGTGTCGACCTTGTCCACGGGAGAGATTCGCAAGGTCCTCATTATTCGTGCGCTCTGCGATGGTGGTGCCAATGCTCAAGTTGATCTCTCCAAACAAAAGTTTCGTTCCAAGCACAAGGATCCCAAACTCTTGATTTTGGAAAATGCCTTTGATGGACTTGATTCGGATTCTCGACTCGAGCTTCAATCGATTGTAAGTAAAACGATCAAAGGATTGGACAAGAGCGGCAAGCTGTTGATTCAACAAGTCCAAGCCAGTAGTGTCCGTCCCATTCAAGTATTCATGAGCACCCATCGGCCCGAAGAAATCATGGACGAAATATCGACCGTGAGCATGGCCATTTCGGAAAGCGGCACCACTTCTGACAACAACAACAACAACAACAACAACAAATGCAAAGTGGTGACCTTCGAACGACCCAAAGACATGACTCGGGAAACCCTCCTTCGCACTGCACTGGAGCTGGACGACTTTACCCCTGAGGATTCTTCGGAAACTACTACTACTGCTCTGGCACAAGCGGACGACGATCTCGCGTTGCCGTCGCTGGAAGCAATTAGAGCCGCATGGCAAAATGACAATGCTACACACAATACTACCCCAGACGTCCTCCTTGGGTTGGATCAGGTTCAAATCCAAAGGCCAAAGGATACTATTGCGGAAGATGAATCCCCACAAGGCAAACCGCAATCGTCGTCCAATGATGATAATGACAACTTGGTGACATTGCTACATGAATTGAGTTGGAAGATTGAAAAGGGGCAGCGTTGGATCATTGCCGGTGGGAATGGTGCTGGAAAATCGACCTTGACTCGATTTTTGTTGCAGGGAAGTGGACTTGGATCCACACGAGACAACAAAGACAAAATATCTGGCCAGTATCACATTGATCCGGCCACCAAGGTTGGGTGGATGTCGACCGAATCTCATCTCCAAATGGTGGTGGGACAACAGCAACAGCAACCACAACAACCACAACAGCAAGATGATGATAATGAAGAGACAAACAATGACATCGGAGTTTGGGATATTCTATGTGACCATGGAAGAATACCAGAGAACGTGGCCAACACCTTTGCCAGCTGGGTTGTCGGAGATTCAGCTCGACTGGAACATATCAAGACGCTTCCGTTCGATCAACTTTCTCAGGGCGAGCAAAAGTTGGTGCTGCTTTCGGCAACCCTGGCCAGACGACCCAATCTGTTGATTCTGGACGAACCAACGACAGCGCTGGATTCCATTGCTCGGAAGCGAGTATTGGCTCTGTTGGAACGAATCTGTCAAGCCACCCAGGACGACCTAACTCTGATTCTAATCACGCATTACCAAGACGAATGGGTCCCATCAGTGTCGCATGTATTGAATCTGGTCCGTGGTAATACCACATTCCAAGGGCCAAAGTCAGAATACGTTTCAGAGTAAGCTACTACTAGGAGTTTCAAACGAGTAACAACAATTTTTAAACTAAATATAACGACATAATTTCAATACACTCTCACAGTGCTCAACGGTCCGAGGCCGTTCTTTCTTAGGAGGATACGAGAAACTGCTGGTTCAATTTCCGAGACCACGCCAGGCACGGTTGGAACCCAACACTCGATGGCTCGATCCCCCAATTTGTGCCCCGCACTCGTAGCACGTAGATGTAACCATGGCACCTCCGCAATCTCCAATAAAGTAAGGGTGACCATTTGGGCATTCATACCAGTGCCCACTAGCCCCTCCGCCCCCAAAATTCCAGTTAGTTTGACCGGCATCCATTGCCGCAATCGCTTCTCGCATTGCTTTGTCGTTACTCTGAGCAATCTTTTGCTTTAGCTCTTTTGCTATAGCAATTTGATCTTCTTGGGGGACTGGCATTTCGAAAATGACCCAATCTAGATGCTCCCAAAGAATCGTCTTGGACCCGGAAAACGATTGGAAACGCAACAAGAACTTCACATAGTCGATACGAAGTGACGCACAAGATAACCAACTCTCCGTCGAAGCAGCCAATGCGATTCCTTCCAAGAACAGCTCTGCGGCTTTCTTGTATTGCTTCGATTCGATACTCTTTGCTTTCTCTCCATACGCCGGTGCTGTGACTTTCACCCATTGCAACAACAAAGAAGAGGAAGTACCTGGAGCTTCGACCTGTTCCGCGCTGTTGAGGGACTGGCACGCATCCTGGACCAGTTTCATCGGGCTCGCCTCTATTTCTTTACGTAGATTAAGCATTTTTTGCAGGTCTTTCTTTTTCGCTTGCGACAGGTCATTGAAAGTCTTTCGAATGCCGGTCATATGCTTGCGTTCAAGAGTTTGCAAAGACTTGTAGTTGAGGATCCGTCCATAGCGTCGAACTAGGGAGATGGGTGCCCTGCAATCAGGGCACTTCATTGGTCGATCATTGATTTCAGAATAAAAAAGAGGCTCGATAGCAACGTATTCTCCAGTTTCTGAAGACTTCTCGTATGCTTTATCCAGTTCAAAATGGCCGTCCAGAGTCTCAAGCCCATAAAAGTGTCCACATGGAAGAACAATAATTGGATCAGCATCAATATCATGTTCGGCATACTTCTCCATCATGATCATGTCGACTACTGTTGTTTTGACGTCATCGCTGGCGCATTCCACACAGTACTCTTCACCAGGACACACTTCGCCACAGACTGAAGGACATTGGTGTCCACAGCGAAGCTTCTCTTTGCAGCGCTCGTTGCATGGAAGCCTTGTACATGGAGCACCGCAAACAAGGTCGCATCGCTCACGATGTTCGCACTCCCAAACGCACTCCTCAACACATGCTGCACACTGTGTGATACATTATCAGCAGAACAGCGTTAATGTCATTGTGAAAGCAGGATAAGACATGCTCGCTGCTTCATACTTACGGAATCGCCGCAGCTCTTGCAGCACATCGAATGAGCACAGACAGCGACACATTTTTTAGTACATGGAGGACACTCCGTTCCGTGATGACACGCGAGTTCGCAGTCGTGTCCGCAAAACAATGTCCTTCCACATTTTTTTCTACAAATATGCTTCCCGTCGCACTTGGAGCACCTTGTAAAAAAATAGAACCATGGTGTTATTTATAATAAGAACGTCAAGCGGGAAATCGAGTGAGAGTGACCAAATGTGCTTACCTGTTTGCACACGGATGAAGGCAACCTTCAACAACCTGCCCACACGGCTCGGGACAAACGGGATTCTCCGATTTTGCATTGCTACAAGTTGTTGATGTCTTGTGACCGCACGAAAATGTGGTCTCTACTCTTTCGACGCAACGTTTTGACACCAATTCAAGCGCCTCTGGAGATCGATTTTCGTGACACGTAATCCTTTGCTTCACATGACCGCATGACAAAGTGACTGGACCCATGAGTGTCTTGCAGTGTCCGCATTCTTGATTACATCGTTTTGTACATGGGTGCCCGTGTGCGCATTCTGGAGGAATTCGTCGACAAGCTTCGACGCACATCTTCTCGGCAACAGAATGGTCTTGGTCTATAGGATGACACTTTAATGGACACACGTGCCCACAAGCAAGTCGAAAGTTGCAGGATCGATGACATCCTCCGTTAGGGCGATGATACCGAAACTTTGACCACTCGAACAATTCGAGTGGTGGATCTTCTGGATGTAGACGGCACACGGTTGGTAAGCCGGACTTGATTTGGCCCCTTTCTTCCATCATGTTCAGCAATATGCCCCAGGTTTGCTCTCCTGCAGTTGTCTGCAGCAATGTCTTGGAGCTCCCAATGATGATCATGCCATGTCTTGCACGTGACAAGAGAACATTCACTCGTTGCGGTTCCTTAAGAAAGCCTATAGTTCCTCGGTCATTGCATCGAACTAGGGACGCAATAACGATATCGCTTTCTTCGCCTTGATAATTGTCCACCGAGGAGCATCGCACCGTCCTACTTTCTGCTTTGTTAAAGTCGTTGAGCTCGTCCTCTTCGCCGTCCTTATCAAAATCCTCGAGATCTTTTTCACTAATGAATGCACTGACATCTCGTAATTCTTTCTCCATTAGGCGTACGATCTTCTTCAATTGTCCCAAATACGGAGTCAGTACAACAAGATTGGACGGTGCATATCCTTGCAACAACAAATACCGGACTGTTTCAACAGCGAGCTCTGCCTCGAACTGGTTGGACTTGCTCGTACTGGTCTGGTTCACGTCCAACTCGTCCCTTTCCCGAGCATCCTCCAAATTGTCATGGTCGATAAAAACGATATTCTGAGATAGGCCTCGAATATCAGGGAATGTCATCACAGATTGGTGATCAATGAGGCGAGGATACGTCTGTGCCCTGATGAAGGACGATATGTCAGTCCGCATTCGGTGCTGCGTAGAGAGACAGGAGCTCTCCAATCCACCAAGGATAAGTCTTTCGAATAAAGAGACATCAAGGTCGAATCCCTTTCTTGAGACATTCGTGAGCTCGTAGGTGTCAACCTTGGGCCGAAGCTGCTTGTGGTCTCCAATGAGAATCAAATGTTTCGTATCTTCAGAGAGTGTCCCAGCGATACCCCTTGATGAGAGCGCAGTTAGAACATGACTCTCAAGGACTTCACCAGCTTCTTCGACCATAATCACGCCAGGAGCAATGGATTTTAAGATGTCTTGATATTTGGCGGCGCCGGAAGTTGTTGCCCCAATAATGGATGCATCCTTCAGGATTTGCAAGTCGGCTATTCGCCGGGCTGCATCTCGTTGCTCCACGAGTTCTTTCACTTGTGTAAGACGCGACTGAAGCTCCATTCTGGAAGATTCCAATACTCGCTCCTTTAGTTCGAGTACGAAAGCGGCTCTCTCAGACTTCGGCTGGTTCCAGAATTCATGAAAGCCCTCTAAGCTCCCAATAGGAGCTTCACTAGCAAACGCTGGTGGTTTCTTGCCTTGCTCCCATTCTTCCCATAGATAATTTTTTTTCATTTTTTGGTTGTTCTTTCCGACCGTTTCGAAGCCTTCTGTGCTTGGTACCTGAACATACTGGTACTCATTTGGGTACTCCTTCCTCAAAATTGACGCTATCCCACCATTGGGAAAGTTCCAACGCACCGGAGCCTGAAATATTTTGAGTAGCTCTTCAATCTCCTCACGCTCTTTGTAGAACTGTGCATCGGCTATACGAATGCCTCGATTTGATCCCCTCTCGTCCCGTTTTGCTTTTGACAAGTGAAACAGCTGGTATCCTTCCAATGCCTCAGACTTGGTTCTGCCTCCGAGACGTACAATGGATTTGTTTCCGGCTTCTAGTAGATGCTCAAGAAATTGATCCAATGCATGATTTGTGTAGCATAAGCAAAGGATCTTCTCATTCGTATTTTGCAAAATAATCTGAGCAATCAGGCCACCAACTAAGAAAAATAGGACGATTGATTGATTGGTTCCTTCAATGAGACTATTTCATGAAAGCGAAACGAAATCTGAAGAAAAAGAACTTACTGAATGTCTTTCCAGTACCTGGGGGACCCTGAATGAGGGCAACTCTATTTGTCAAAGCATGTCTTACAGCCTTCGCTTGAGAAGTGTCGAGTGTTGAGTTTTGCTCTAGAAATTCGGGTGTTAGATCCTCCTCCCCCACATGAATCCTGAAAGCTGGTTTGTCCCCCAGTTTCGGAATGGTCAGCTCATTTGGAAAATAATCAGGAACAGCAATGCCATCTTTAGGTGTCTCTGCTTTCAGTATTTCATCATGGAAAGGCAGTCCATCCAAGTTCTGAAGTCCTTTCAAGATGGAACTGTATGCGAAGAATGATTTCGATACTTCAATCATCTCATAAGTCTTCATTTGTGAGACAATTCCTCGAGCAGCAGGGAACCGCTTTTCTTGAAACGCATTGTTGTATGCTTTGAGCATCAGTCTGTTCACTGCAGCTTCTCCCAAAGCTTCATCGAAAGCATCGCTGTCTTCAATTGTGACTCCTATGATAGGGCCGGTAGGGTGGTTCAGCCAGTCGTGTCTGGCGCCCTTCTTATCGTCACAGTTGCTGATCGAAATGGTTCCCGTTCTGACAACCTCACCATCTTCATCCAGAAATGCAACAATTGTTTGGGAACCCAATGCTCTGGTCTTCGCCCAATCGATTTTTCGCTGCTGAGGTGGATCTACCTGCACCAAAAAGGACATGGCGCTCTGGCCTCGGCTGAAATCCATTCCAATGATACGTGCGTTATGCCAAGGTCTCCTGCGTTCTTCTAAGGAGCTTATCATGGACTTCAAGACATCTTCTCTCAGCAACCGAAAGTTTCGATCAAGAAGATAAGACACTTCATCTTCAATGATTCTATTCTCTTTGCTCTGCAGTGGCAAATATGGGACTGCCAAGCAATTGAGCTCGTCCGCTGGTGGAACAATTAAAATGTCTCGAAAGTTCAAGTGATCGTTTGTGTGACGGCCGCCTGGTGGAACCATATCCGAGGCCCAACATGCAGCCGCACCTTTGAGATCGTTGTTGTTGATACTGTTGAGTCGCTCCAAAGTCTCCTCCCGGAGTTCCTTCTCCTTCAGCAATAGAAGAGCGTGAAGGGTTTCGCAGTTCGTGACATCACCACGTTTCTGAAGGTTTGTTGCCACGGTCGCAACGGCTTCGCTGTTCCGGACTTCGCCATACTTCTTACTCAGAATGAGCAAGAATGTACAGAGAAGGTCTGCTGTTTCTTTGGAGCAAAATGTGACAAAATCTTCGCATTCGGCAAGAAAATCCATGATACCTGGGACAAGATAGACGGCATGCAAGTACGGGCTCTGCATCTTTTGATAAAGAGGCTTCGACGTTTCTTCGTTGATGCCATGCTTCAGCAATGGAATGAAAAGTTTTGTGAGATCACCCTCACTGCCCACAAAAGAAAGGATCTCTCCAATCCGTTTGATCCCATGTTTTTGCTGATGCAACATTAGCTCCAACAGCAAAGGCTTGGAGTTGAAGGCAGCCATTCCTTCCAAGAAACGAATCGCGTCGGTCCCAGTCATTTGTTGATCTTCATTCAACAAGCGATCAAAGATACCCTGCGCGCCTCCTCCATATCTTCGACGATTGGATCCAGAATCACCGCCGAATCTCTGCTTGGATCCAGACTGTTTGCGTTGATGATGACGATTCGATCCATGCTTGCGGTGATTCTTTCCAAAATTCCCCTCCCCTTGCGATCGACGGTTGTGTCCATACATAATGCGTGAAAACTATGAAGCTCCTTGTGCTTAATGCGTGAAAACTATGAAGCTCCTTATGTGCTTCCCGTGGCGCTGTTGCTGCTATTCCTAGCAATACGCGTATCAACAAAGTGTTTTATGTGTGTGTGTGTGGGAGATGATCGGATTGTCTCGCCACGGTAGAGACTCAACGCACGCCATAGAAATTTTCCAACTATTCATTTCAACTGTGTGATTGGTGGTTGAAATTTTCAAAATGAGTACTACAAAAGAGTAAAGAAGATGGCTTCAAAAACGTCTGACCGACAATCCGAAATCCGAAAAAAAGAGTGCATACGCGGCATGTTGAATGTGCGATAATCCGTCAATGTTTTTGTATCAAAAACTTAGCCAATCCAAAATACATTACGTTACCGGTGGCCACTATTATTATTAGTCTTTGTATTTGCATTTGAATTCTTCGGTTGGCCACCACCGGCTGCATTGGCTTTCGCTTGAGCCTGTTTCATGTGCATGACACCAGCTGCTGCAGCCTTCCACACATTTCCAGCCAGTCCACCGCCACCATTTCCATTTCCATTCCCTTGTGATGATCTAGCATCACTGCCTGCATTATTAGATTTCGTATTGCCATTGGTACTCTTGTTGGTGTTGTTGTTGTTTTTGGTGTTGGTACCATTGGAATTGTTGTTGTTGTTGTTTTTTCCTTCCATGGCAGCACTCGCCACACCCTTGACAAGCCCCAAAGTCTTTTCCAGTATATCATCCCAGTGGTTCTTCGCTGGTGGATCCGGCATGGGATCACCTCGTTGCACCGCCTGCCTACATGCTTCCTTGTATTGAATTCGCTCAATCGACTTTTGATGGATTGCCCGGACCGACGAGGCAGCCATTTCACTTGCCACCATACTGCCCACCATACTTCCTGCCGCGCCCAACATTCCAGAACCTCCCTTTTTGCCACCCAGTATCCGACTTCCAACCATGGATCCAACTATACTTCCCACCATGGATACTCCCATCATGGCGGCTGCCAGCTCCGACTCGGACATGCCTGCTACGGTCGAATCGAAAAAGTCGGAAAACTTGTCGTAGGCTTCGGAATCCGCAAAGGAAGCTCCACTACCAGCAGCAGCAGCAGCAGCACCAGAGGAGCTTGGCACACCACCACCAAATTTTAGCGCACGGTCATACGCCGCTCGTTTGGTAGGATCGCTGAGGGTTTCATAAGCAGTCCCAATCTGAATGAATTTGGCCTTGGCTTCTTCCTGATTGTCAGGGTTTTTATCAGGGTGATGCTTGAGGGATAATTTTAGGTAAGCCTTGCGAATGGCTCCTTGCTCCACATTGCGATCGACGCCGAGAATATCATAATACGTTTCCGGCATTCTGTGATAATTGCGTTTGCGTTTGCGTCTACCGGTACCGGTATCTATGTTTCGCTTTTATATTTTTATCATAGTATGATGTCATTGTGTGGATGGTCAAAGAATGAAAAAATATGCTGTCGTGCGTGTGTCAAAAAGTCCCGTGCAATGGACTAGCGAAGTCCTAAATTTAAACACAATACCAACGGTATTTGTCCGCGCAAGCCATCAACATCGAACCAGTCGACTGAAATGATGGGAAAATTTGCTAGAAACGTAATAGTACCGGTAGTTTGAACTGCATCATCTATTGTTGCATCGCATTGATTGTACCTAGACGGTGCGATACCTCAAGCTTGAAATTGGAATGCAACCCACGTTCTCATCATTAAGATGACAAAAATATCCTATGTTACGTTACAATTTTTTTGCGTTTTGATAACCTTTATCGAATGCACATTCGCCCGAGAATCATCAGGTTTAAATTCATCAGATTCAAATGCATCATCATCATCTTCTTCTTCTTCTTCCCCTCAGTTGAACGATCATGATCCAAATAAGTCCAGCTTTAGACGAGTTCTGTATGAATCCAATCCTTTGGGCGAAACTGAAGTGTCAGATGTGTGGCTTTGTCTGGCTTGTGCCCTGGGATGGGCCGTATGGCTACTCAGTAGTCACAAACAAGCCAAAGTGGAGCCATCCATCTTTGACACCAAGCAGTCCCTCCAAATCACGGGGAATGTCTTGGAAGTCTCCATTGGAGAAGATGCGGATGGGACGAGGATTCCTGTGTATCTAGCACTGATTGACTACGTTGTCGAATGTTACGATCCAGACGATGATACAGCCAAATTTATTCCGCAATCGGTACAGAATCACCCATCCTCACCACCGCGAGAGGGCAAGACCAGCACCGAAAAGTTCAAAAAGGGTGTCGTTCTCGAGCATAGCTCATCGACCTCACCGGACAAACATTTGCAAATTCGAAAATGCTTTTACACCAGCAAACTGTTGGAGGTTGGATTTGCCAATGTCAAGCTGTTGTGTCTGGTGGATGATCCAACCACATCGGAACTCTGGGACAATTATTTGATCAAGAAGAGACAACGACAGGCACCACAGAATTGGATGCAACTATACATGGTCTATTTTATTGCTGTGGTCCTTATAGTGGTTTCACTCTATGGAGGCTATCGAACTGTGGAACACTTGCCTGCTGAGTTGAAAGACGTTGGCTACATGTCTCTTGGAATTGGCGTTTTGCTCTTGTATCCATGTGCTCTACTACTATACACTGCTTATTGTTCTATCCAACGATGGTTCTCAACACGCAAGGGAACAATTATTCATGGTTCTGGAAAATGGCATTGCACTCGCATTGCGTGTGGGATTCATCCCATTGCAGAAGAGGAAGACGGGACCAGTTCACTGCGGGATAACTCCTCGATTACTCAAAGACAGCGCAATCACAACATAGAGAAGCATGTCAAGAGCTTGGAAATGCCCGAACTGCACGATGCTGCGAATTCAGAATACGCACCACCAAAGCCCAAAACCTTTCATAAAGTTGGTTGTGGCATGAACGAATACAATGTGCAAACATTGCAACATAACCCTTCCACGGTTAGCAGCATTTCCAGTACGGGTGGGGCGGCGACTCCTATGGCAAATGGATTGGCATGCCAAGATGCCACTAGTCATTTGATGGATGCCTTTGAAAGCATTTCGGCCTTTGGGAGTGGCTCTGCGGAGGAGCCATCCAACTCCGCCAATACTACCTCTAGTTCCTCACTCCAGAAACTTGGAAAACTGCGTCGCATATCCTCGGAATCAAGAGTTCCAGCCAGAACCTCCTTGTTGGGGAGTGTGATGGAAAATTCAGGTAATCTCAATCATTCTGCAGACGCTCTGGAACATGACGAAGTGACAAAAATATATAGTGCCTAACTTGGGTCGTGGCTTGAATCTTGGGCTTGGTACATTTTCAATTTTAGAATAATATCTATAGTAGTATAATGTAGTCTTGGTCTCTACCGCCGGTACGGTCTTGGTCTTGGTATATTTTAAAACAAGATTTGATACTTGTACAGTATACTATTTTTTAAAATAAGCATTGCTTGGATTGTACAAGTACCTATTGCTGTGATACTGTGATACCCCAATGCCAAGACTAACTTGAAACTCCCTCTTTGAGCTAATATCAATCTTGCTACCTAACCGGTAGGTAGATCGGATCAAGACTGCAAGGATATTTATTGTTATGTACATTGGAATCGATGCATTCAACTCATGTTCAAATTCTGTCAATCAATCGTCGATCAGAATTGATGAGTGAACGATTGCATGAACATCTGCCATCTGCCATCTGCCATCCCCTAATAGAATTGAAATAGGATAATATATGCCCATGACACCAAAGTTCTGCTTTGTGCGTCAGATTCAACGCGCTTCGGTTTTTGGGTGGGATTGTAGTGCTCGTGAAGTGAAAGTGAGTGTGTGTGCAAGTAGTATCCGCGATACCGGTGGGGCAGAAAGACTTGAATGATGAGGCATTCGGCCTGGATGGCTCGATTATATTCCCTATGCAATCGCGCCAGCACGACTTTACTTACGGTAGACAATATAAAATTTGGTCTATTATTGGTCTTCGAGTTCGCTGAAAAAAGAACCTCACGGAAGTGATCTAGATACTCCGACAAAGAATCTTTCGTCGTGTCAACCGATCGTACGAAAGTTCAAGTGTTGTCAGACTGGCGGAAAAATACGTTTCAGAATTTTCGAAATACATCACAAGATCTCACACAAGAACAAGAATACAGCAACAGCAACATCAACGTAGACATCGATTAGACAAACAAAGAAAACAAAGAAAACAATCAAATGACAACAACACCAAGAAGAAGCAGCTTTGAAAAGAGTCCTTCTCGGAGCTTGTGGAAAGCTCTGATCCCAATGAAGACTACTAGTAACCGCAGAAAGATGCAGAAATCCGTGTCATTTTCGGATCAACTTCTAGTTGTACCAACAGCTGTCTGCCTATCACCGGGGGACGAAGACACTCTTTGGTGGACAGAGGACGAACTAGAGATCATTGTCACGACTGCGAGAGTAAAGGGCGAGCTCGACGTATACCGAGAAGGCATTATGAAAGCACAGTTTCAAATTCGAGAAGTTCTCAAGGAACAAGATCGATTGAGACGGTCAGGGCAACTAGGCTCAGACTGGAAACCCATTGCCAGAGTCAGCCGAAAAGGCTCCACGAATGCATCTCGTCAGGCCCGGAAGAACGGGATCGAATTCGAGAATCATATGCTCCAAGACTGCGGCAAGAATCTGAAGCCGCAACCTGCTGCTGCCAAATGTGGTAGTCGCTGCACTGATTGCGCACGCCTCGTTCGGTCGAAATGGCTGAGAATCCGGCCTCTACTCGAGTCGAATCGGCAATAAGGAGCTCGCGCTTGACTACTGCTACTCAGTGAAACGGGGGCTGCTACAAGCGATGGAACCATACACCATGTTCTTTGCTATATCATTGATATAAAAAAGGAAGCAAAAATGCGTGATCATGATGCTCTCTCTCTTTCTCTCTCTCATGAGCTCTGAGACGCCGATGCCATGGATTCCTTTTTCCCCTCCTCTCAACGAATGCATGCCTTGAATATATGCATCTTAATTTTGGTTTTTGATATTATAAATCCATGTATAATAAATATGAATTATAGATATGAACAACATTGTAACAATTCTTTTAGAATCCTCACCATCAACTTGCGGGCCTTCTTCACGATTTGGCTTTCAATTCCAGCAAATGTTCCGTTGGGATTTATGTGATACTTTTATTGCGCTGATTCTAATGGACTACTGAACCCCCTATGGAATCCATAGTTTGGAAGACATCTTTCCATATTTGATTACTACATGTATGATTCATAAACATATAGGACTAGTCCTATAATAAATAATAGATAAGATTACTTTATTACAAGATTGTTGCAATTCGTTCACAGAATCATCGTCATCCTCATGAACTCGAGTCCACCAAGCGATGGGCTGCAATGTAAGGTCGATACTGTTAGGCTAATTATCGATTACTGAACCCGCTGTGGATTGTGTTGTGGATACTGAGTATCTTTGGCAATCAAACATGGGATGCTGGAGGAAACATCTCGGCGCAGTGATGATCCCCTACACCTTTTCTTGCCACCGCATACTGTCGATTCCTTTATCTTACATCAGAACGAGGGTGGAAAGCATTAGATGATACTCAGTTGTATTGGGACCCGCTATGAATTCAATCGTGTAGTCCTCTGTTTCAGGATCGGGCTCCCAAAATATGTTTCCACCGTCCCCTTCCAAGATCATGGCATTGCTCAAGAGAAACGCCCTCTTGACAGGTTTGGAATTGACTGTCATGAAAGCATTGCCCAACACAAAGTCGGCAAATGTATGGTCATACGGGTGAGGACACTTCTTGCAGCCTTCTGGGATAGCCATGATGACTGCAATGATGCCCTTGAAATTTTTTGGATCGTATCCATAATATGCCTTCTCCTTTTCGTTTGGAAAGGTGATTGATGCTTTTCCATCCACAAGTGGTGCATACAACCAGTCTTTATAATCCGGCATTACAACCGCTGGGCACTCTGCTTCCCATGCGGCAACGTCCTTCCAACCAGCACGTTCAGGTTGCCTCGCAACGAGTGAGAACTTGCCTTCAGGAGGCCTTTCACTTCCCTTAAACACAAAGCGTCCGCCGAAATTCCCATCACGGGCTGTATAGTAAAAGCCAGTCTCATAGGTCTCATGGGTATACATTGCGACATCGCCGGTCTTGTTACTTTCTGTCATCAGACCAAGAAAACGTGACTGAGCCGGCAGGAAAGTAGTGCGACATATACTATTCCCTCTGAACCAGGTTTCAAACAATGGATCAGTTGAGTTACCAAGTGGATCATACTGATCCCCAAACATCTGAGTCAAAAGCGGACTTTCCATGAACTGTTGGAATTCAGCATCTTCTTCCTTTTGTATATCGGCCAGTAGCTCTTCGAAATCAGAAGTCTCTGTATCCACTAGTTCTTTCAGTGCCTCCAGTAACATCTCAATGAACGGAAGACTGAGCAGATGCCCATGCAACGCGTGCATTCTGTATCCCATATGCCAGCTCGATCGCTTCCCAATATGAGGGCAAATACAGTCGACCCCTGAGTTTTTCATTCGATCAGTGCAACTCCATTTCTTTCCAAAGCAAAGATCTTTTCCTTCAAACCTTCGACCACACTTTAAATATTTGACCATTGGCGGCAGTTTGTTGGCCTCTTTATCAGGAATTGGGATACCATCAGGAGTCAAATCCGGTGCCCCATCAAATTGAGGAGTGTCCGCTTTTGACTCGAACATGGCAAGGCCCACTTTTTCGAACAATGGATTCAATCCTGGAGCAATGGTTGCATCCACCATGACAATCGCTGGATGGTTAGGCATCACCGCTCCGCGATAGACATAGTGAGCAGCAGAAGGCATCTTGCCATCCGTCATACCAAAATTCCAAGCCAGAAGATCGACGTCTTTCCCGTATACTTCTTTAGTGCAGGAACTCATAAATGGAAATGACCTTGATAAAGAAGGAATGATGAGGAAAATGGCACAAATCGTCGCACAATCCTTCATCGACAAGAACTTACCTCATTGCTCCCATGGCGTAGTTTCTATCAATCAGTTCAATCCCGATTGCTTCCATGATTGGCCGAACATCTCTACCAAAGACAGCAGTATATGACTCATTGAACATATTTCCATGCCCAGCTGCATTCGAATGTCCACCATTGGCAAAGACGTACTTTTCATAGAATTCTGGAATAGTTGTCAGAACATCTTCATCAACTCCTGAGTCGACTGATCCTGATTTTCCAATGCAATCGCATCCATGGACATTGCTCTCCGTCGCTTTGATGGAAGACATCATCTTCAAAATCTTAAGCTTCATTTTTCGCTTCATCCGTTCTCTGGATGCACCGCCTTCATTAGGTGGTTTCATTCCATGATAATGTGTTCCACCGTCCGGGTTTGTTCCGTTCTTGACAAACATGGGATCAAAATACTCCCCATAGTCTTCTCGAAGTGCGGATTCCACCTTTTTATGTTCTGCTTCGGCCAACCTGACCAGCTCTTGAAAGTCCAAAAGGTCGCCACCAAACTTTTTCTTACGGTTGGCTTCCCTTTTCGTGCAAACGTCACTACAACTCGCGTCAAAATCGCCACCGCCACCGCCTCCACTTGACGACGACGATGGGGAGTCTTGTTCTTCAGAAATGGGAGTCTCTGTCGTACCAGGCGCATCGGAAGCAACCTCACCCACAGTCACATTCACATCCTCTGCCGGATTGGATGCATCGGAAGGGACCACCGCAACAGGACTGGTATCGTTAGTTGGCACCAGTGTTGGAGTTTGTGGTTTGTGTATCACGACGTCAGCCATGTGAGAATCGGCGGCGTTTACATTCCTCATGTACAAGCCAGATGCCACAAGGAAAAAAATCAACAGGGTCAACAGTAATCTGGGTTGTGCTGTGACCTCGCCATCTTGACCGGATGACCCTTCTTCTTCCACTTGAGACTTGGCAATTTTGGAATTCTTGTTCGAGGACATGATTATCTATATCAGTTGTGTTGCTTCTAGTCACCGGTCCATTTAGTAGCTGAGGTGATGAAGTGCTTGTCTTGTTCGAATGATGCCTACACACTGGACAGTCTAACCCTAGATACAAAATGGATCTTGAATGACCCGGCATCTGTCTGCGGGAGGTGAGTCAGTCAGTCAAAATCGAAAATTCCCCTCGAGTGACCCCATAATAAGATTGTTGGGAGAAAACAAACAAAAAAGTACCGAGGGGCTATACGCGTCAGCAGGGAAAACCAAGAGGGGAGAGAGAGACTGCTAACGTACGCGGTGCATAATGTTGGAGAGAAACCAGAATCCTTAACATAATGGTAACCACCAGAGAGTAGTAGTATTCTTCTGCATATGCCAATTTAGATATTATTTTGTTTCTATACAAGTGCCGATAGGTTTGCAGACGAGTGATGACAAATCCCCTTTTATGCCGTCTGCTGGTTGTCCATCTCTTCAATTGGGACTATTTCATTTCTGTTACTTTCACATGGCTCGACTCGTTCGATCCTTTTTCATCAAAAACAAACTTTCCGAAACCTATTTGCTGTGCTGCAGTAGACTAGAGTCAGCTCAAAAAGACAGGAGATAAACAAAACTGGAACACCATCGATTTTTTGGAAACAACAAAATTGCCATTTTTGTTACCCCAAAGCATTTTTCGCCAATTTTTTTTGCCTCACCATGTTCCACTAACCAATAGGAGTATTGGGCAGGATTGTGTCAAAATAATTTGTTGAGTGGAGCTTATTGGAACACGATAACCATCATCAGATTGTGTCTTGTTCAGTTGGTTGTTGGCAGAGAGAAGGATTCATTTCATTGTCTTTGGTTGATGGAAAAGCCCAAAGTTGATTGGACACGTAGATGTTTCGCTTTCAAGGCACTGCTGGAGTATCAGCAAAGGAACCCTGTTTTTTCGTGGTCAGAATGTTGTCATTGTGTTGAATGTAAAATACGTCGTGAAACGATAGACTTACTAGGAAGGTGATGAGGACAAGTAAAAAGAAGTGATGATGTGTGTGGCTCATCACCAATCCTGTACGTTACTGCTGCGTACAGACTATGCGTGCGTATCTAATAGCACAGTGACCTTTATTTGGTCCCCTCAAGCTAAGGATCAATGTGATCCATAGGCTAGGTTGCTCAATAAACCCAAGAACCAAAAAGGTTTTCTCTCCTCATCTGTTTAAATCGCTTTGTAAATGCATCTGCAATATTGATTGCACCATCAATCCATGAAACTGCAATCACCTGAGCTGCCACATTCCATGGAGCATAATGATAAGCAATTGAATTGTGCTTTTTGTTCAACATAGATTCTACCAGCAACAAGCTTCGTTGTCCACCAATACCTGTGTTGGTTCCTCATCCAGTGGGATCCCAAACATACGCAACTTATAACGCAAGTATGCTTCAATACATGATTTTAGAGCAATGAATTCAGCTCCAAAAGTGCTGGCCTCCACTGTATTATGTCTTCGGCTGTGCCAAATAATAGGCGCCCTATTCAAGAAGAGCCGGTATGCGATCTACAAGTCTTCTTGTTTGCTGCATATGCCAAGCTTCCCTTTCACCTGCCTCTTGGTTTTGGCATGTTCAATGGCATTTGTTCCTCAGCATCTCGGTATAGAGTACGGAACTCTTTGTACAATGACTTGACTCTGGAATAATCTGCGTTTGGGATTCTCCAATCAAAGTATAGGGTCATCTTTAGGTGTTTATCCAAGTAGGCAAAAATCTGCAACAATTGTTCCATCTGTCCTTCTCTTGGCCCTGCCTGATATTGACTCAAAAGAGAAACTTCCAGTTGAATATCAGATCTTGGTGGCCCACCTTAAGACCCCAATCAATTCTTAAAAGTATGTGTGGTCATGGGCCTTTAACTCACTTGAGCCGTCTAGCTCTGGTGTATAATCACTATTCATTGGAGTGACGGCTTTCTTTGGTAAGTTCCACCTCTGATTGTCTTTCAAGGTTGCTTTGACATTCTTCATGGCAGCTGTAACATAATCATAACTGGAAAACCTTTCTTTTGACACCCGCTCCAAGGTAGCTTTCAGGCTGTTCAATCTTGTCCTCCTTGAACTTGAATTTGTAGATTATCTGTTCCATAACATCTTTAGCGTTTTCAGACATGCACCATATGTCGTCAACGTACTAGCACAAAATATGTTCGTAGATTCTTCCCTGTCTGGTTTGATAGCTGCTCGCATTTAAATGTCATGATCAGCATATGATGAGTAAAATCCCAAGTTCTCCAATGTCTCTGCAAGGTGGGACCTGAATGCTAACGCAGCAGATTTCAAACCATATAATGCGCGCCTAACAATGAATGACTTGCCCTCTTTGTCCCCAAATTCAGGGACCGCAATCATGTAGCACTTTTCAAGATTAGGAAAGCATTTTGAATGTCAGCGCACTGGACATCCAAACCATTCAAGAATTTCTGGCTACCACAGTATTGATTGGATAGATCAGGCAATAAGGATCGTAAATGGAGATACACTAGGATGAGGAGCACGCTAGTCAACTTATGCGTCATTGTTTCTATTTGCGATTGTTGTTGTTGTTGCAGACGGACTGAGGATTTGAATTGGCGTGCTTTGTAACGGTAATCCGGGAGGGCTTGAGTCACAAGTGGATGTTGGAATCAATACACCATCGCAAAGTGGAGATTCAAAGAGTGCTAGCGTTTGGAGTGCAATATGATGGGTCGGTGGGTTTGGTGATGGTGAATGGGGTGATGTTTGGTATAGTAGTCGCCAAGGTTGGTCGGGCCTGGGGCCCAAAAGATATTGAATTGTCCTTGTTTGACTCGGTCTTGTACCCAATAGTACCGCATGTCAATGGCTTTGGAGCGGACTTGGCGGCACCTGTTGTTGGCGATGGCGACTGCGGTAGAGTTGTCTACTTGGACTGGGGTAGCTGGTTGTGGGTGGTCCATTTTGGTGAGTAAGGTGCGGATGGAGATGGCTTCTTTGCAGTTGTAGAAAAGTGCGCCAACTTTGGCCTCAGTGGCAGAGGATACAACGGCTTTGATAATCTTGGCCAGGCCAAGAATGGGGCCATTGAGTTTGGTACTGGATTGTTGGGCTGATCCCATGTAGAAGTGGCCGCCGACACGGCTGCGGGCTTTGGCTTCAGTCAAGTAGGATGCGTCACTGTGGATGCGTAGGATCATGTCGCTGGCGTCATATGTGATGGTGGCGTCGGGATGGGTGGCACAATAATTGAGGAAGTACGTCATGGTGGACATGGTGTGCTGTGTGCCTTGTGATTGGTTGGCCGCAAGGTGATTGAGGATCAACTGCGCGGGCATAAAATAGGAATTTTCCCACGACTTTTTGGAGGAGTTTTGTTTGTGTAGTTGGCATTGGTTCGGTGTGGTCCACTTTTGTCAATTGGGTGCGAGGGCCGTATTCGGGCCGTGTCCAATGTGACGGGGCATGGTAGGGGCGAGTTGGTGCGGTGTGTTGGAATTCATGTAGGGCTGCTTGTACGTATCCTGGAATGGATAACGTCACGGTGCGTTTGTTATAATCCCATTGGAGGTGGATGCTGCAATACAAATTGCCGTCCCAGTCAGTGGAGATGGGGTAGTATTGGGCAATGCTTTGGATGAGGTGGTTGGCATGTTCTCGTCCAACATATTTGACTCCAAAGTCGTCAACTACCAAGGTGAATGTAATTGGTCAAGTGATATGTTTCCAGAGTCCGGGTGTACGGCGGCAAGGAAAATAGCCATGTTTCGCAAGTCGTTTGGTGAGTAATTCCTGTGCAATGATTCCTGATTGGGGGAGGCCATACATTCCGCGTCGAATCTCCATGTACACACGTCCGTTGTGGACCTTGTCATGTAGTTGGTATTGGTCAATAATTTATTGGGGAATGACTTCAATGGGTAGGTACATGTATTGGTATCGTTCCATGGGCGTGCCTAAGTAGAAGTTCTTGATATCAATGCCCATGAACTTGGCTCCAGGGGTGGATACAACAACGCTGTTGAATAATGTTTTGGCAGTGGTGAGATCAGCTACGGATGCGCTGACGTCACCGGGATAGTCGATGAGGTTGCCACCAACAGTGAGCCGGGTGCGTTCTTTTGCTGCCTTCTGTGGTCAAATGTCGACAACTATGCGGCCATATGTAGGTTTGCGTCCAGGGGGAATCTGTTGGTGGTGGATGAAAAAGATGGTATTGGTGCCGTCAATGCGGTCTCCAACTCCTTGCGCAAGTTGACCGATTTCATTGGAGAATGATCTGGTCCAAATTTCACGTTGATCGTTGCGGAGAATGAGGTCACGGTACTGGAGGATGGCACCTGTGCGCAGGGGTTCCAAAAATATCATTTTTAGGAATTGCAATTTTGTTTGGGATTCCCAATTCTTTTATTGATCCAAATTCAATTTAGTGGGAAATTGCAGGTTTTCTTTAGATCTCTGCAATTATTCTATTGTAATTGCTGACCAGCTATTTGCAATTCATTGTCATTGCTGTTATCTATTTGCAATTAATTTCTATTGGACATTGATTATGATTCACTATTTGCAATTAATTGCAGCTGAACGCTGACACAATTTCAATTATTGCTGGCAGCTACAGCACCTAAAATTGACTGAGCTTGGTCAGTTTTCTTGTTGGTGCTGGATGCCATGTCTATTCCTTCTCCTACTAAAGAAACATTGTTATACCAAAACCGTTCATTATACTTGAGCATCATGATGGCTTTGAAGAGCTTTTGCACCATTTGTGAGCGGTTTGGGGCCAAGAGGTTCCCAGCAATAGACCATTGCCTCTCAACTTCTGATGCTGAACCAAGGACAAAGTCAGCGTTGATATATTTGTCTCCTTGGTCTCTTAATATGTGAGTGAATGATCTCTTGCTCCCTACAGCCGAGGATCTTTCCTGCTCCGCCCCGCGCTTGTGCATTTCATCTCCTCCTCAATTTGTCTTTCCACCAGATATGACAGCATCAAGATAGTGTCCCTCACAAGATCAGGGCCAAACTTGAACTGCTTGTCGCCATATACCAACTTCCTGAATAGGTCATCTATAACACACACGAGAGAGCAAGATTCTTGAACACAATAAGCTCAATCCAACTATGCATGACATCGTCTTTGGGACCAGACACCCGAAGACCTAGTGGTGGTGCATCATCTTTTTTGACTGGAAGAAAAGGAAGCTGCCTCTGATTGCATTTTCCTGCCTTAGCCAAAGCTAAAGCTTTCAATGTTGGTGTGTCTGCACCGGCAATACAAATAAGCATATGGCTGTATGGATTTGTCCACCCAGCAACTTTTAGCCATGTCATCTTTGTACCGCAGTTCTTCCCTGGACAAATTGCGACATAAAACCCCATCCTTGTTGATGATACTCTCCTCTGTAATGATAGACAAGAGTCCTCAACACACAATTTCTTGACTTCCCTGTTTCTTGGTGTTTGGCATCTTGATGAATGATAGCAATGAGGACGGAGACGGAAAATGACAAAGACAACTGACAACTGACAACCAACAAGTTTCAACTACAGTAGTACAAAAACGCTTGTCTTATTTCATTGCAATTACTGGCATTGGTGCACTCTCTAAATTAACTAATTGCAATTTACTAGTCAAAATCCTTAATTAATTGTCATTGGTAGAATAATTTTGCAATTAATTGTGGTTCGAATGACCTAGCAACAAATATATTGCAATTACTTATTGCAATTAATTGCAATGGCAATTCTATTTTTGGAAGCCCTGCCTGTGCGTTCATCAATGACATGGTTTGCAACAAGGGGTTGCACAATTTGGTGTTGGAATGTATGATATTCATTGTGCAGGAGGGCCCGTAGGGTGCCCGTCGTCCAGGTTGGTGTACGGACACAAACTTGTTGGATCAAATGTGGACGGTTGCGTGTATTGTATTGGTGGGCTCATGGAGGTGGCTGGTTGTTTCTGGGGCGTGGTGGTGTATTCAGATGGGGAGCAGCTCGTATGGGCACCCTCGGAGGTGTGGCAGGAGTGCTGTTTGGCTGTGGTGGTGCCAGTGGTTGCGGTATAGGTACTGATGGGCTCGGTACCACCCTCGGAAGTGGGGCAGGGGTAGGACGCGTTGGCACCCTCGGAGGTGGTGCAGGGGGTAAAATGGTGGCGAGTTGACGTAGTGCCGTGAGGTGTGGTGCATCTGTAGCATCTGTAATGATCGATTGCTGGTCCAACGTAAAAACCATTGAGTCCATGTGGTGCCCATGTGCTGCGTTGGGTGGGAGTCTCATAGACGATGACTTTGGTTCCTGACGGTGCCATTGGGGTGCGGTTGAAATCGAGGTGCCCATGTAGTTGGGCCCAAGCAGATAATTTGGGATTGATTCGTGAGGCACGTAGGAGGTTGATGGTCAATTCAGCTTGTGGTAGGAGTTCGTCCCATTGCGTCATTGGAAAGTCAGTGTCCGTGGAGCAAAGGATTGCTATGAAGTGATTCTTGAAGGTACGGATCGTGCGTTCAGCGGCATTTCTGCGGTGATTGTGCGGTGGTACCAGTTGGAAATCAATGTCTTGGAGTTTCAAGTGTTTCTTCATTTTGTTGGAGGCTTCATTGTCAAGGCATTGGAGTCTGGGGCGAAATCCTTTTGCAGTAAGTCGTGCTGTCAAGTTTTGAAATGCGCGGAGGAGCTCACTGCCTTTACGAGACTTGAGTGGTTCCGCTGATATGGCATTTGGATCGTAGGCATAGAGGACCAGTAGGTATTGGTTGCCTTTGGAGGATTTGACAGGGAAGGCTCCGGTCTGGTCCGTGGCAATGTCGCCTTTGCAATTGTAAATGGTGAGGTAGATATGATGTGGGTCGGTTGCTGTGAATGCGGTGGCAGGCGGCTCAGTTTGGTGGCCTTGTTTGGGGAATTTGGTATCTCCGTTGGTTGGTAGGCAGGACCCTGGTGTGGCATGTAGTAGGCCGTGTGTGGGATGGGCGGCTGGTAGGCTCCTGGTTGGGACTGGACCATGAGGTTCAGTTGTTCTGACAGTTGTTGGATGGCTTGATTGCTCTCTTGTTGGATTTGTTGGTTTTCCGCATGCATTTGTGCAAGTTTGACTTCTTGTTGGTTGGGAAGTTGGTTGGCGGCTTGGTAATTTGAATTGGCATTGACTGCAGCATCAGCTTTTGCTGCAATTTGTGCTCGTTGGAAGAATGCTTTCAATAGTGGTCACGTTTTATTGCCGGCAATCTTGGCAGTCGATATTCATGAGGTTGTTGGCAGTTACCTCCTCGCCTCCTTGGGCAGCAAATGTCTGATAGTCTTGGAGTCGTTTGAAATATGTGGTGAGTTCTTCATCAAGGGAATATTTCTGTTTTTCCACGGATAGATGTCGCTCCTCAACAGCTTCAGGGGTGACATTGCTGGATGGTTGCTGGTATAGGTGGGCAAAGATGTCAGGGATGCTGATTGGCAATAGGTTGAGATATGGCTGCCTGATTTCGTCCAGGTATTCGTTGGGGACCGCGTCGTCGATGAGCTTTTTGAGTGCTTGGGACACATTATGCTGGGTCTGGAAGAGGTTGCACTGGTGTTTGTATTGGTCTCGGAGATTGCGTTCAGTAAGTCCATTGGTGTTTGGTGGGATGGTGAATGTGGGTGCTGGTGGAATCGGATTAACCCATGCGGTGGCGGGGGAAATGAGGGCATAGTCTGGTGCAGTCATTGTCAGGCCCACATGACCCAGTTGGCCTCCTCCGTTTGGTGTGGGGACTTTGGCTGCATTGCGGCGATTGCAATGTCCAATGCGTTGACCTCTTCGTATGTTGGTGGATTTCCCATGTGGGGGAGGTCGTCAAATCGGGCGAGGCATTCCTCGACGGTGAGTGCAGGTGTAGAATCAGCCATGGTAGCTGTGGTGTGTGTTCTGGAGTTACTACCGTGTATTGATTGGATAGATCAGGCAATAAGGATCATAAATGGAGATACACAAGGATAAGGAGCACGCTAGTCAACTTATGCGTCATTGTTTCTATTTGTGATTGTTGTTGTCCTTGCAGACGGACTGAGGATTTGAATCGGCGTGCTTTGTAACGGTATTCCGGGAGTGCTTGAGTCACGAGTGGATGTTGGAATCAATACACAGTGCTGTATGTCAGTGCTGCTGGCACTTCTGTCTTGTGTCCATCAGCGCAATATTGCGCCTTTTGTTGGAAGTTTTCACCAAGTTTGACATCAAACACCATGTGACCAGCGATGGGTTTGTATCCAATTAGCTTTTTGATGTCCCCGCCAAGTTCCTCAAGGGCAACTTGATTGTTCTTCATTTCCATTTTGATGCTGGCACCTTGCCACAAGGTATCACCATTTTCTCAATCAATTTGGATGGCCTCTTTGACAGATTTTGGGCTGCGGATACCGTATTCGTGGGTCTGTTCCCAATATTTTGATTTGACCTTGCTTATAAAACAGTCACGCTTTTTGTGTACATGTGGGACCCACCATGTGAATGCTGGTTCATTGTCAATAGCCTTTAACTTGGCATAGTCTGCAACTTCAAGGGGAAAGGATTCTTTCATGTCTTTCAGTGTTACCCAATTGGATGATCCATCTTTCCAGATCACATGAAGTTCCCAACCAGCAGTTGTTTGGCGCTTTTGATTCCTTGCACTAGGGAGGAGCATCGATCCCTCAGTCTTTTTGATTGCTTTAGCATTTTTATGGTGATCTGATATCTCCTCCATCAGTCTGTCACTTCTGCTTATGTATTGATCTTGCTTTGGTCTTGTCAATACTTCTTACATGATTGTCAGGCATTGTTCAATCTTATGCAATATGACCCATTCTCTAATGCCTGGTTTCGAGTCCCTGCTCATCATGCTCCATTCTCCAAATATCCCAAAATACATTCCTTGGCTTCTTTCTTCAGCTGCTGGCTTCAAAGTAAGCCAATTCACAAGTCTCCAATGCCATGCTGAAGATGCAAGACTTTCTTGATCCTCTCCATCCACTTGTCACATATTAGAATGCCCTCTTTGCTCCATGAGAGTTTGGAGAATTATTATTATTGAATCCCAAATACCTTAATCCCCAACATAACAACAAATTGATACAACAGGACTTCTGCATTGCCAAATTGTGTACAATCCGACAAGTTTCGCTTACATTTTCAAATCGCCAATGCTGCCATCGTGTAAAACTCTTGAATTCCATATGAAAGAATCTCCAAAAAAGACATGAAAGAAATTTGCAAATTCATCATTCATCAAGCCCCACAAAGTGAGCACATAATGACATCCGATGGGACACTACCATTACACATCCTCAAGAATTGCTTCTTCCCTATAATAATGGATGTTGAGGGACAGATATACCGTTAACTACAAGAATACCAACTTTTTAAGAATCATCTTCATCATCAAATTGCAGGCTTTCTTCATAATTTGGCCTTAGAATCCAGCAAATGTTCTGTATGGATTTATCTATGTGATACTTATATTGCGCTTAATTGACTACAGAACTGAACCCCCTGTGGATTCAATAGTTTGGTACACATGTTACTACATGTGTGATACATAAATAACTAAGACTAAAATTTATAATAGATAAGATTACTTCATTACAAGATTGTTGTAATTTGTTCAAGGAATCATCATCATCCTCATCCACTTGAGTCCAGCAAACGATGTAAGGTCAATACTGTTGGGCTCAATATCAAGTACTGAACCCGCTGTGGACTGTGGTGTGGATACCGAGCATCTTTTGCAATCAATCATGGGCTGCTGGAGGAAACTTGTTTTCCAGCCACCGCATACTGTCGGTTCCTTTATCTTACATCAGAACAAGGGTGGAAAGAGTTAAATGATACTCAGTTGTATTGGGACCTGCTATGAATTCAATCGTGTAGTCCTCTGTTTTGGGATCGGGCTCCCAAAATATGTTTCCGCCGTCCCCTTCCAAGATCATGGCATTGCTCAAGAGAAACGCCCTCTTGACAGGTTTGGAATTGACTGTCATGAAAGCATTGCCCAACACAAAGTCGGCAAATGTATGGTCATACGGGTGAGGACACTTCTTGCAGCCTTCTGGGATAGCCATGATGACTGCAATGATGCCCTTGAAATTTTTTGGATCGTATCCATAATATGCCTTCTCCTTTTCGTTTGGAAAGGTGATTGATGCTTTTCCATCCACAAGTGGTGCATACAACCAGTCTTTATAATCCGGCATTACAACCGCTGGGCACTCTGCTTCCCATGCGGCAACGTCCTTCCAACCAGCACGTTCAGGTTTCCTCGCAACGAGTGAGAACTTGCCTTCAGGAGGCCTTTCACTTCCCACAAACACAAAGCGTCCGCCGGACTTCCCATCACGGGCTGTATAGTAAAAGCCAGTCTCATAGGTCTCATGGGTATACATTGCGACATCTCCGGTCTTGTTACTTTCTGTCATCAGACCAAGAAAGCGTGACTGAGCCGGCACGAAAGTAGTGCGACATATACTATTCCCTCTGAACCAGGTTTCAAACGATAGATCAGTTGCGTTACCAAGTGGATCATACTGATCCCCAAACATCTGAGTCAAAAGCGGACTTTCCATGAACTGTTGGAATTCAACATCTTCTTCCTTTTGTATATCGGCCAGTAGCTCTTCGAAATCAGAAGTCTCTGTCTCCACTAGTTCTTTCAGTGCCTCCAGTAACATCTCAATGAACGGAAGACTGAGCAGATGCCCATGCAACGCGTGCATTCTGTATCCCATATGCCAGCTCGATCGCTTCCCAATATGAGGGCAAATACAGTCGACCCCTGAGTTTTTCATTCGATCAGTGCAACTCCATTTCTTTCCAAAGCAAAGATCTTTTCCTTCAAACCTTCGACCACACTTTAAATATTTGACCATTGGCGGCAGTTTGTTGGCCTCTTTATCAGGAATTGGGATACCATCAGGAGTCAAATCCGGTGCCCCATCAAATTGAGGAGTGTCCGCTTTTGACTCGAACATGGCAAGGCCCACTTTTTCGAACAATGGATTCAATCCTGGAGCAATGGTTGCATCCACCATGACAATCGCTGGATGGTTAGGCATCACCGCTCCGCGATAGACATAGTGAGCAGCAGAAGGCATCTTGCCATCCGTCATACCAAAATTCCAAGCCAGAAGATCGACGTCTTTCCCGTATACTTCTTTAGTGCAGGAACTCATAAATGGAAATGACCTTGATAAAGAAGGAATGATGAGGAAAATGGCACAAATCGTCGCACAATCCTTCATCGACAAGAACTTACCTCATTGCTCCCATGGCGTAGTTTCTATCAATCAGTTCAATCCCGATTGCTTCCATGATTGGCCGAACATCTCTACCAAAGACAGCAGTATATGACTCATTGAACATATTTCCATGCCCAGCTGCATTCGAATGTCCACCATTGGCAAAGACGTACTTTTCATAGAATTCTGGAATAGTTGTCAGAACATCTTCATCAACTCCTGAGTCGACTGATCCTGATTTTCCAATGCAATCGCATCCATGGACATTGCTCTCCGTCGCTTTGATGGAAGACATCATCTTCAAAATCTTAAGCTTCATTTTTCGCTTCATCCGTTCTCTGGATGCACCGCCTTCATTAGGTGGTTTCATTCCATGATAATGTGTTCCACCGTCCGGGTTTGTTCCGTTCTTGACAAACATGGGATCAAAATACTCCCCATAGTCTTCTCGAAGTGCGGATTCCACCTTTTTATGTTCTGCTTCGGCCAACCTGACCAGCTCTTGAAAGTCCAAAAGGTCGCCACCAAACTTTTTCTTACGGTTGGCTTCCCTTTTCGTGCAAACGTCACTACAACTCGCGTCAAAATCGCCACCGCCACCGCCTCCACTTGACGACGACGATGGGGAGTCTTGTTCTTCAGAAATGGGAGTCTCTGTCGTACCAGGCGCATCGGAAGCAACCTCACCCACAGTCACATTCACACTCAAATCCTCTGCCGGATTGGATGCATCGGAAGGGACCACCGCAACAGGACTGGCATCGTTAGTTGGTAGTGTTGGAGTAGCTAGCGAAGACGTAGCCGCAGTTTGGGGTTTCTGTATCTCGAGGTCAACCATGTCAGAATCGGCGGCGTTTACATCCCACATGTACAAGCCAGATGCCACAAGGACAAACAACAACAGGGTCAACAGTAATCTGGGTTGTGTGGCCTCGCCATCTTGACCGGATGACCCTTCTTCTTCCACTTGAGACTTGGCATTCTTGGCATTCTTGGAATTCTTGTCCATCGACATGATTGTCTATCTCTTTTTACAATGCTTCTGTCACCTTCAGTGCTTCTCTCGGTCGGTAATTATTGGACGATGAGCACTTGATGACTGCATACACAGATACTGCGGATTTGGAATGACTTGGCGTCTGTCTGCGGTCGAACGAATGAATCTTGATTGGCAAGACGGGAGACGTATGGGCGTTTCTTGTCTCAATTTCCGTCAACGTATCGAAGAGTGTCGACGAAGAGGGCGGAAGATTTCGTGAAGACATTGTTCGCAATGGGAGCTTGTGGGATGATGGAGACGATAGAAGGAGCATAGCTGCTCGGTCAAGACCGTCAGCCTTTTTTGCTTTTCCCGCCCTCTCTCTCATTTGCACCATAGCTCGGTACCCCATTTGGTCCGGTTTGTCACTCCCCTCTTCGAATCCTATGATATGATTCGACCAGGGTGCAAACCAGGCACTAATCTAGTACTTTGCTACTGTGCCAAACCTACTCGCTTCTCGTACCGTATGTAGCATCGGGCTTTTGCCACAGTTTCCATGGTAGTAGTACGTGTGCGATTTCTCCAAAGAAGCCGCCGGGTAATCTTCGATTAATCTGAAATCATCATCAGCAACGCGTCTATGTGCGGTCGAAGGAATCAATCAATCGTTTCCAAAGTGCGGCCCATAAGCGGTTATTTGATGCTCGCTCACATGATGGCGGTCACAAACCGTTTCTTTAAAATATAGCGGGACCACAATATGATGGAGTTTGATACGATTGGATGGGGACTACCAATATGAATGATTGTTTGAATGCTTTTAGATGTACTGTAGCTAAAAACTAACATTGGTTAGAAACCTTGTGATGGCATTGTAGGGGACCCATTGCCGTTTCCCAAAGCGATTTTTAGTTGTATTAATTCTTCAGCTAGCTGTCATCGGAACTGTAGTCCAAATCTTCCTCATCATCTGTTGTAGATTCATGTTCTGTATCCGTAGCTCCCGGAGATGAGAAACTAGCCTGGAAGGTTAGGTCCTTTGCTTGTTGTTGTTGTTTTCGTTGTTGTTGCTCCTCTTCTTTGCAAATCATCTCTAGTTCCATTGCAATTGCCTTCATTCGGCCCTCCGATGAAGTCAGCTTGGATTTGGACCAGGTGGCAAATATTTTACAAGCCAAGGAAATGTCTTCTTGGTCACTATTACATTGCTGCTGCGCAAAAGCTAACGTTAGATTAGCTGGCATTTTTCGAAGTTGCGTTATTGTTCCTTCTAGTTCCTGCTCTTCCAGTATTAGCGGCATGACTTTCTTCACAAATTCATGTGAACTTGGTGCTGGATACGAAGATGGGTCTTTGGTGGTCATGATATGAGATTCAGGATAAGTCCGTAGAATGATAACCATTATTTCTCGCATATTAGGCTTGTTGTGACGATGCTTGAGGATGTGTATTGGTAGTGTCCCGTCGAATGCCATCATGTGTACACTCTGTGGAGCTCGTTGAATGATAAACTTGCAAATTTCCTTCATGTTATTCGATGGAGATTCTGTCATAGCCGAACACGCAGCATGCAAGGGAGTCCATCCCAAAGCATTCTGTTGTACCAGAGCACTAGGACACTTGGTTGCAAGCCATTGAAAGAGATCGAGTCTGCATTCAGTAAAGCCAAACAGAAAATGGTGAAGTGGTGTGGACTTTTGGGAAGGGTCCACATGGAACAAGGCCTGTGGATACTTCTCAAAGAACTGGCGTACTATGGGTGAATTCAAAGCAATTCCATTGACGCACTGCCCAATAAAGTCAAAGGTAGGAGGTCTTGCTTGACAAGCAGGATGCTCCAGTACCCAGGGAAAATGTTCGGCGATCCATGGCAAAAGCACATGGTGCGCATGATGATTCGCAATTGTATAGATAGGCATGGAATATTCTATACCCATCGTCTCCCAGTCGTCCCTCTTCCACAGCAGAGCAGAAGGATTGCGTTCAATGAGGAATTTCATGGTTGAATGTGCCAGTGGTGTGTGGGCCTTGTTGCACAATAATGTAAGCATCGAGCTGTGATGCATATCCCGGGCCACCACACGAGCCAAGGTAGGATGAATTGCTGCTTTCATTTGTATGCAAGAAACTAATTCTTGAAAGTATCTGCGAATAGCTACAATTCCAGAAGTCCATGGGATGGACAGGATGGTGTCCTTGATGGCATCATATTGAACCTTGACTTCAGGCGTCACTTCATCATCTGAGACTGGTGCCGTCCAACACTCTTCAGCCATTCTTCTATAGTTCGTTGCCCTCACATGGATACTTCCCGCTAACGAGTGCCCTCCTCGAAACTTCTTCAAAGGTGGTGGGTGCATTCTCGTGACATTGGCATGTTGTTCTGATCTTTGTTGTGCGAGTGTTGGTCGATCTTGATGTTGTAGCTGATGATGACTCTCCATGATGTTCAAATGCTCAAGATTGTGTGATCCGCTATGCTGTGGTGCTATCAACTATGCTGAACTGTTGAAGAGATTCAAACGCTTCTTGTTGCTGCTCTCGTTTTTGCTACAGTACGGTACAGTACGTCCTGAAGTCCTCCTTGGCGGATACACTGCACAGAGTGATTTTGTTCTGGTTTGATCTTGATTTGATGTAAGAAACGTGTGAATTCGTGTGTATCTGGTCGGAGGATTAGCGATCACACTTCTGGTCGCTTGAAGGATTTCGAACACTTCGGAACTCGAACGTGGTGATATGGAGCACAATGTCAATAAGTACAAGACATTTGCTGTCCGGAGAAACTACCATTGAGTGGGCAAATGAAGCATTTTATTCTGCACAAGAAATCATAGAAACTCCAATATTATATACCCGGTACTGGTACCAGGTACCGGTATGACGTTTGTTGGCACTAAAAACTGAAACGGCACTAAAACCTGAAGCAATCGAACATTACCGTACCGGTACAAACAAAAAGAAAAAGACACCTTCAAAATGGCGACAACAGAAAAGCTTGACCATTGAATATATGGCTTGGAGTGGATGACGAAGGCTCACTCCTGTGAACCGATCATGATCTAGGCACTATTACCGTAGCACAACATGCGTCATGACTTGAACAAGCATAGAATTGTATTGGAAATCTTAAATGGTTTTGTGCTTCATACCTTGGCTGTATTATCGTTCTAATTAGTGGGTTGATTCGTACCGGGTAGGCATTCGTTTCCGTTCGTCCTCGGCTCTTTGCTATCTAGGCTGTGGGATACGCAGTTCTCAATTCATACGGTTCCGCTCATAAGAAGCAGTGATTGCTTAATTCAATCATTCGTGCTTCCTTCCATATCCTCTTCTCCGAAGACGGCACATGTTGCAAGCTATCTCTGCATTGCGAAGGCGAACAGAATTCCAAGCAAGCTCTTGTCGTTCGTCTCTTCGTTCCTCCCTCCTCACTACTGTGCTTATCATAAATAGTGATTGATTTTTCGATTGATCCATTCAATCCTTGGAAAGTCGATTCCAACTGGAACCGTAGTCACCGTCGAGAGAACACGTCACATCGGAACACTTTCTTGCAAATCGCCTGGGCATTCGATTAGCCAAGAAACTGACAAACTTTGGGGATCCTGGAACGGCAAAAAAGATTCGTGGCAAGAGCGGCACTCGCAGTGTCCATCCCACCCAAAAGAGCAAAATATCGAGATTGGCGCTAGTGCCCAAATTAAGATATCCCCGGGCAAAGAGACGGTCAATGTGCGGTGTCACCTTGGCAATTCGGTTGTGTTTCAACAGTTTTGGAATGTGAGGCCTCAAGAGTGGCAAATGCGGTCCTACCAAATCCAAACGCGAGACATAAAATTCCAAATACGGCAAGAGCTGTTCTGCCAGCTCATACTGATCCTCACAACTAATGACGCCGCTGCCGTCATCTTCGCATTCGGCATAGAGTAGCAATTCGTCAATATGTTTCAGCAGCAAGCCTGTGTAGGGTGCCAGCACATCAATATTCCTGAGAATCCAGGGAAAGTGTGGTTCGATGTCATCAAAACGTTCGAGGATTTGTCCCAAATACGGTTCGATGGAATTCAAATGTTGTTTCTTGTTGAGCACCTTTTCCAAAATCGTTGCCACGTGAGGTTCAAGCTTGTCCAATCGGGAATAAATCGCCGGCAAATGAGGGACCAAAGCCGCCGTATTGGGATCCACCAAATAGGCCAGTCGATCGGGATGCAAGGCCAAATTGGTCAAAATCCGAGCCCCACTGACGGTTTGTGTGGCGACGTATTGCTCGACCGAACCTTTATATTTTTGGTTGTTCCGACCAATCTTGCCTTGGACCCGTTGAAGTTTTCGTTTCAATACCGAACTAGAGTGCAAAAAGGTGTCCCGTGCCTGATAGGTGGTCCGTGCCAACAATTCCAATGGGTGATTCAAAAAGGCGTTGGATTCGTTGGATGCCGATGTGACACACAAAATGTCCCGTTCCAGTTGTTGCAATTCAATTTGCTGCTTCAGAATGGATTGCCGTAAGACGGCAGCCCGGGCAATCATAGCGTCTCGATTTGGGGGTTGACAATACTCGTCAACTGCCGCTGAAGATGAAGCAACTGTTGAAGTTGCATTATTCTTCAGCTGTTGTTTCGCAGCACTCTTGTTTTCTTTTACAGTGATTTTTCGCGCGGCGGTGTTGAAAGGCGACGATCGGACCGTCAAGGCCGGTGCCGATATGCTGTCCGTACTCTGAAGGGCTGATGACATTCTTTTAAACTGTCCACTTCGGAATATGCCAGTGCCAATCGATTTCAGGTTGCCAGCCTTTCCAACTTTCCTTAGGCTTAAGGAAGAAACTTCTGATGCCATCCAACAGCAAAGAAATAAAATAAGGCCGACATGGCACTTCATTCTTGCTTGTTTTTCTATACTGATGTTAAGATGATGCTATTGTCTGCTGCAACAACAAAGTAAAAGTATGTATCACAGATTCTTGAAACTACCCTGCTATAGATTTTGAAAATACGTTCAAGAGAAAAAGACACAGAACCACCACGTCGCAAAGCAACATACAATATGTAAAACGACACGGTGTCTCGCGGGTTGAACTTGAATTTTCAAAACATCCAATATATCCGGGTTGTTTTGGGACTGACTCGACGACCGAAAAACTACAGAAGTCCAATCAAGCGGTCCTCTGTGCTGCGAAACCGCATTACATACTGTATTTCAGCAGGTCGTCAATTCATATTATTATTATATATTGTAGTATTGCACAAATCGTCAGGTACATGCCGCTTTACCATCATGTTCCATCTTTGGACCTTCACGGCCCAGTTCAAACAAGGTAATGGCAGCCGCATGCCCCACATTCAAGGAATCACCGTGTGCTTGGGGGACAAATACAATCTTGTCACATATCTTGGCAATATCAGGGTTCAAGCCGGCATCTTCATTGCCCATGACGGCTGCCCAATTATTGCTCGGACCATGCGGTGCTACTGGAACTGCATTGTCACCAATTTCCACCCCATACACGGCAATTTTCTGTTTTTGAATTTCGCCAATGGTCTCCTGTAGATTGTGGCTTTGATAGAATCGGTGATAATACATGGTACCCATACTACACCTTGCCGCCCGACTATCTTTCAATGCCGCCCAAGCAGTACTTGAGGCGACAATGGACTTGATGCCGAGACAAAAGGCAGTCCGTAAAATGCTCCCCAAATTCTCGGCATTCCGAACATTGTCAAAGAGGAGAATGGGAGGATTTTGAATCAGTTCTTGCAGTTCAGAAGCAATGGGGAATTGGATCATACACAAGACTGCGTCGCCTGTATTCAACTTTTGACCTCGTATCTCGTCCAGCAGCTTCTTTTCTTTGGTGACATAGAGTGGGATCTCCTTTGGAATCGGAACCTGCTGCTTCTTGGACGAATCATCCATGAACAGATTGTCGGCGAGTTCTTGTGTGGTCAAGAATGAAATGGGGTTGATTTTGGCACCCAATGAAATGGCTTCTAACATTCGTACGGTAGTTCGACGTCCTCCATGCAGAGCCGCCTCTATTCCTTGTTTTTGGAGCTCTTTGACTTGTCTATTGTATTCGTTGTAGTTTCGTAGACTCTTTGGTCGAAAGAGCGCCACTTTATCATCGTCCGCATTGGATATTACGATTGGCTCTGCGGTAGTCAAAGTTTCTGCCTGACAGTCTTGACTACTGGCAGTCGTAGTAGTGGTTTCGGCGTCCGCAACGGGGCGAAAACATTGTTGCTTCTTTTTGATTGTCGACGCTGCGGCACTGCCTGCTTCCGTAATGGAATCCCCTTCAGCTAGACTCGCAAAGAATTCATCGTAAATGCAAGACATGATGGCCCAACGAAAGGTTGATACAGCTGTCTTGGCACGAGCCTTTGCAACATCAAAGGCAGCAGTATCATTTTGAATGATATCCATCAAATGGAGCAATTTCTCCACACCGTCCTTACGAGTGTTGGAATACAAATGATCTTGTTCAAAGGTTTCTGGTGGAAAGATTTCTGGATATGATAATCGGTTTGGCAGCAAGGGAAGAGCTCCCGAAAAGACGCTTTCCACAATGGAAATTCCAAAGGTTTCGTGCTTGGCCGTTGAGACCACAATGTGGGCCTTTTGCAACCACTTGGCATATTCTTTGCGATCTTGGCACCATCCTAAATACAGTATCATTTCGGGAGGGAATTCTTTTCGTATTCGATTCTCCCATTTGCGATCCTTGGAAGGATCTGTGCCCAAGATAATCAACTGTATCGGCGGACAGTTGGAGTTTGGGAGTAACTGTGAATCAGTCTTGTTGGTGCCCTTCCCCTCCCTGACTTGTCTACGAATTTGATGAATCAGATCCAGAAAGGCAGCGGGATTCTTGTCCTCTTCTAACCTTGCGTTCCACAGAATCTTGACGCTTTCCAAAGCTGGCAATAATTCTGCTACTTCGCCCACAGGCGGCAGCTCGGAGGAAGGAGTAGGTCTCGACCGCTTCTTACTTTGGAATTGTACCAGTTCGTCTAGTTCGAGTCCATAAGGTAGGATTGTGCATCGTGTTTTCAGCAACGAGTCAGCTCGTTGAAGTTGCCATTGCACAGCATCCCGTGGACACTGTTCGTTGATCATTTTGGGCAAGGCAGCTGCAAAGGCGTCGAAGTGTGTCTGACTGTTAAAGATGAAACCATCCGCGACAAGTAATGATCGCCAGTGGGCCATACCATAGTGCCAGTGAGTATTGTTCTTCTTATCTCGGTCTTGGCTTGTGAATGGAGTAGTAAATTGATTCTCATGAAAGTAGACGTAGACTTTGGGAATCCGCATTCTAGCGTTTGGGTCGTTTGTACCTCGACTCCGCAATATTGCCATTAGAACTGTCACATCAAACATTCCATCCACCACAAGTATATCGTCTTCAGGAGAAATTTTCTCTTCCCACTCGGCACACGCCGCCATCATTCGATATTTCCATCGTTCTCCTGAAATAACTTCGATTCGAACATCATGTTTGGTGGAGGCTCGCTGATAGCCAGAAGCCCACGTTTGGTGGGATGCAAATCCCATGACAAAGAATCGAATGACTGCCATGATAAACTTAAGGTCACAACGAAATGATGAATGCAATAGATTGATTGATGCGGGATGTCTCGATCGTCATCTTCATCACATGTATTCATTGTGTGGTAATATTGACCCATCAGTAAGATGCGCGTACCAACGACAGACATGCATCATGCAAGCCCACTATGACTGGCACTATACACTATACAGTATCCTCTATATCGTTGGGCTCAGAACTACTATAGGACATAGGTATTGTTACTCTAGAATAAGGGATATTACGCCACACAAGTACACCAAAGTAGAAATCGACAGCCTTTGATAGTCAAATTGCTCATACCGCGCACCTCCATTGATTCATTGCTCATCCTTGTTGCTAGCCAAGGAACATAGTGGAAATGTAGATAAAGCAATGTCCACGTTCGATTCATCGCTCCACAGATGCTTCACTACATCGTCCAGTGCCACATCTGATCCACACTGTTGTCTACAGCTCATCCGATTTATTATATCTCGACAGTTGGATCTTCATCACGCAAACGACGGATCCTTCCTTTCCACACAGCAAGCTCCACGGCCGATGTCATTTCTATAATCATGCAGTATCCAAAGTAGTCCAGTGTTTCCTTCACACACAAGTGCATTTTGTTTCCGTGTCGTCGTCGTCGTCGTTGTACGTATCCATCGGATTCACACGGCGTGATACCTCTGAAATCCGCTTATTATATTGACACCGAGACTTGCAATTTTATCGACGATTGTCCTGTCAAGGACCATTTGGATCAAAGGGAGTCTCCCACCGAATGTATTCCGCAGCAAGTAATCCAACATGGTACTTCCAAATTCGTCCTTGTGCGTCAAAACCTCCATTATCGATAAGACATTCCAACATTTGATTCCTCAAATTCGCCGAGGTCACGAGGACATGAAAGGGTGTCAAGCCGAATGCATCCACCAGCACATTTGTACCACAAGAATAACGCATTGCTTCCTCTAGATCTGGATCACTGATAGTCGATGTCGAGGAGTGGTATGCTCGAAGCATACTTCATGAACTGGAATAAGTCCGTTGTATCGTTCCGTAAGTGCATATGTGCATCGACCGTGGACACGTAGTTCCATTGTTTCCAATCCTTCGTTGAACAGCACATCGACAAACGACGAGTTGCCAATGAATGTCATAGTCGTTAGGACCGCAATGCTTTTGAGACTCGCACATCCTCGAAACGGATGCCAATCAATTTTGGATATACCTCGTGTTGGAAGACCCATCATTCTCCAATAGTCTTCACACAGCACCAGGCACTAGAAGACTGAGAAGTGACTGGCAATGATATATTCAAAACTTCTCTCGTTGAGAAGCATCCCGCACTGTAACATATTATTTTATGAATTTACATCCCGCTGCGGAACACGTAGTGTACCGGGTCGTATGGTGTGCAGTATATATATTATAATAACATATGCATGCGGTAATCTGAAAAATCTATAAAAAAAATTGCACCCTTTTCGAATCTGCTCAATGATGTCTTCTGGGGCTAATAAAGTACTTCGCTTTTTTTCTTCCGGCGATCATTCATTTGTCCAATGTGACATGATCGCATCGATATGTATATATTCAGATATGAGGAAAAGGTAATCGCCCAAAGCGTGGACCTCCTTCGCATCTTCATGTGCGTGTGACAATCACAAAATCGGCTTTGATCCATTCAAAGAAGGCAAGGAAGATCACACCTCACCATGAAGACACCTGTTGAAGTTCGACAGACCCTGGCGAAGATAAAGAAGAACAAGGAAACCTTGTTTGCCGTATTGCTTGCAGGAACAAGATGGTACACTGGAGGTCTCGTCATGCCGTTGACATTTGTGATTTGTCGACTGCTTTTGGACCGATTGATGGAGCAGCGCATTTCGTCGATCCATAGAGGAAAACTTGCAACGCCTGAGCAATTGGCTCAAGGTGATATGAATGCACAATCTCTAATACAGTCATACGAAGAGGCCATGCGGATGGTGGATGCTGAAGCTAAGAAGAATCGTGATATTCAGTTGGAAATGGAATTCATCGACTCTGAGAACCAACGACTCAAGGCTTTGTTGGACGAAGCGAATGCCCAAGCAATTGTATCACAATACGACAGTCCTCGGGCAGCACCTAGTGGCAACTTGCAAAAGAAGATTGATGAATTGGAAAAACTAAGATCTAACCTCGAAGAAGAATTGAAAACTGAACGCCAAGCCAAACAAGAGCTAGAGAGCGAGAAAAGAGAAGCGGTGGCATTTCGTGATGCCGAAGCAAGACAGAACAAAATCTTCAAGAAGGAGATTGAGAGAGTGAAGAATGATACTAAGAAGATGAAAGAAATGGAAACTGAAATCAGCGAGAAGAACGATCTGATCGCCAAAAGGGATAAGGCCATTGCTCAACTGGAACAGGAGTCCGGCAAGAAGGAACAGAAGATCGGGGAGCTCGAGTCGAATATTCAACAGCTGATGGCTACCGTCGACTCCTTGAAGGAGCAAATGGCAAATTTGAACGAAAGTCTTGACAAAGAAAGACGTGTTGTTCAATCTTTGGAAGGCAAGCTCGAGGAAACGCAGCAGAAGGTTACGGAAAAGGGACAACTCTATGATATCAGCATGAAATCATATGGAGAAGAAAAAGAGAAAAACAGCTCGTTACAAACTAAAGTGATCGAGCTGAATGATACCCTGGATGCCGAACGTGTAAAGCTCCAAGATCGGGAAGCAACCATCGTTGCAAGGGATGATGTCATCGGAAGGTTGAAAGGATTCGAATCAAAGTCTCATGAACTGACTGAGGAACTATTGTCAACAGTCAATGAGCTCCAAGATACCAAGAAAAGAAAGGAATCCACCGAAGCTAATCTTACTTCAACCATGGAAAAGCTTTCCGCTGTCGAGGAAGAAAACAAACAGATTGCTGTTCTCAATGAGCAACTGGATGCTCTCGAGCTTTGCGTGAGCGAAGGAGAAGCTGCACTGATCGCCGAAAAAGCCAGCTTGAAAACGACGGCACAAGAACGTGATGCCACAAAGGCCCAACTCGAAGACATCCTTGCCGAGAAAGAAACTCTTGAAAACCAACACAATGAGCTGAAGGAAAAGTATGAAGTCGTAAGCGATGCCATGGAATTGCTGGAAGCTGAAAAGAAAACGACCGTACGCCTGAATGGAGAGGTCGACACCTTGACCAAATCATTGGAGGATTCCGAGGCGAAGAATGTTTCCTTGCAACATACATTGAACCAAAAGATTACGATCACTGAAGCCAAGGTAACCATGCTTGCCGAGTCTGAATCGATGAACGCATCGCTGCAACAAGAGATCAGCGATTTGAAGAAGCAAGTATCCAAAATGTCAGTTGCGTTGGAGGATGCCGATGTCAAGGAGAAGCGTGCTGAAGAAATCGAAGCCGCATTTGAAGCCGAAAAGGCAAAGAGTGCGCAACTGGAAAATAAACTCGAGGAGACGACAACGGCTCTTGACGAAGAAACTACCAAGGCCAGTAAACTTGAAAAGACACTGCTTGACAACAAAAGAATGATCGAAGAGTCCGAAGCAACTATTGGATCTTTGGAAGTATTCAAGCAAAAGGCAGAGGAAGAAAGTCAAAGGGCGGAGGAAATGAAGACTGAGGTGTCTCGCTTGAACAACTACTTAGGCTCAATGCGAATAAGTGTCGATGACCTGCAAGAGACTCTACAAGAGAAAGAAAACAAAATCGCCGAGTTGAGCGCTGTGAATGCTACCTTGACAACCGGAAAGGATGATTTGGCCTCCGAATACACTGCATCAAAGGCTGAACAAAAGCAATTGCACGAACAGCTAGAGATTATGGAACGTAAATTGAAGTTCGAAAATGAAAAATTGGCAACTCTGTCAAATCAGAATCAAGAACTCAAGGAAGTCAACCTGCAAAGCAAAGAAAAGCTGGTACAGTTACAATCGTCATTATCAGAGAAGGATGCGGCCATTGATAGCAAGGATGATGAGATAGTCCAACTTCAAAACTCACTTGATGAATCGACATCAAGGTTCACCGAAGAACGATCTGTCGCCGTGGATATTGCCAAGGATCTTCGAGCTAGGAACGAAAAGCTCCAGTTCAAGGAAGCAGAAGCTTTGGAGAAGTTGGAAGAACTGAAGGAATCTTCCAAGGAAACTATCCAAAAACTCAAGGCATCCTTCGAAGAGACTAAAGCATCACTACAGGAGGAACAATCGAAGGTGCAATCGCTACAAGAGAAACTCCGCTCCAAGGAAGCGGAAAGAGATGAAGCAATCGGTGGCTTGACCGAACGTATGGACGGAGAATTGGCAGACATCAAGAAGCAACTTGCCGACGCCAAGTCCAAACATGAGGCCGAAAAGGCAAAGGTGGTCGTTCTCGAATCCACCCGAAAGGGATCCCAGAAGATGATCCATGATTTAGAAGCCATCTTGGACAAGAAGGAAATTCTTCTTGAACGAAGAATGGGAGAGATTACAACTCTCAAGGAGTCCCTTGCGGAGTCAGTCAAACTGTGCAAGGCTAGAGAAGCACGGGCTTCTGAAGTCGAAGAAAAGGCAAGAAAGGGAGAATATTCGGCTGAACTAATCGCCGAGATGAAGACGAGAGAGAACCATATGAAGAAGAGTCTTGATGATGCAACCCAAAATACTCTCAAATTGAAAGATATGCTTCTTGCGTCTGGGGCATTCCATGGATCCACCAGTAAGGGTCCATCATTAACTTCCCCCAGAGGCAAACCAACACCTGAGACAATGAGTAATTGGGGGAAGTAAGTGAGCTAAAAGGTAAAGTAACTAGCATTGATTGGAGGTGATCCAGGCCACAAAGCCAGAGAAAATTGATGTCGGTTCGATTGTCGGTACATTATTGACTGCGGCAGGCCCGGAACCTCCTCCCAACACAGTACGAAACCTTCCAGCAAACTGGATGTATATTTATTTTAATAACCATAAAGTGATATTAGGATGTACGATCGTGCCGTTGCCGTTTCCGAGAATATTCTAGGAAGTTGGATTATATGATTAGCCTCACCGTGATTTGAATGGATTTTCGCCACAGTCAGATTCCAACTTGTTCCAAACGAGTCCAAGCTGCATGTCTTTTCCTTGCCCAACCCAATTCATTTTATGAGAGCTGATTCCATGATACAATAGAGTAGCAATGTCCTTGCGAGCTTCAAACCTTCTTGTCGCTTCCGTCCGCGTAATCTTATTAACCAGACCATGCTCCCAACTATACGACGCTCTTTCTGTTTCGTTCAATAGAGCTTGCACATCAGTAATCGTAAAATTTCCCCACCATGCAAGCGGTTGTTGAAAGCACTCTGCGAACTGATAGATATTTTTGGAAATTGCGGCATAAAGGTATTCCGAAAACGAATGCGAGTGGCGATAGATGGCATCGGAAACACATGCCCAATTTGGAACTGATGCCGCATCCCAATGAGTCCAATGGGACGAACGCTTTTGATTGTCTCTGGATAAAAGTCTTTTCCATTGCTTTTGCTGTTTGATGGAAGTTTTCATCAGTGTCAAAATTTTCTCGAAACCTTGTGTGTGTTTCTGCTGCATTTCCATATTGTACGGAATCCCATTCCTTTTGGTTCGCAAGGCCGCCAAGTCAGTAGAAGAAGAAGATCTATCCATTACTTCGTCCCAGCGACGAAAACTCTCCATTAGTGGCGTTCCAATCGACCAGACATCATCTTCAAAAACCCATGTATGGGCAAACTCGGAATGATAATGGGAAAACATGGCAATTGTTGGAACGAGCAGCTGCCATAACCAAGGCCTGTTCGAGACTGCAGCATAAGTCCCATCAACAAGCTTTGCTGCCATGTACCCGTTTGAGAATGCAGGAAACTCGGAGCGGACTCGGTCTTCCGAAACGCCAAATATTTCGGGTGGTCTTAGATTCTGAGAGGCATTGTGCTCGTTGAAATAGCTTTGCAAGCTGGCAGCTGTTGTTCGATTAACATCACTTTGATCCAAGAGTATGAAAAAGGTATAAATGCAGTATTTTCTGTCTGCTAGAAGCTCTGATATCGCAAGGACCCGTTGCAGGGTGCATTCATGAATGGGATCCACAGCTCTCATGACGATTGCTATCTTTTTTAATGCCGATTCTGACTCGAGGCTCTCGGCTGTAGTGAGATTTTCAAGCACAGTTCCTGGATTCAGAGTTTTCGAAGATGTCGCATTTATGATTGCACGCATGTCAATGCAAATTCGCAAACCAGTTTGGAAAACGATGAGACGGAAGATGATTTTGATTGAAATAAGCTTCCTCATATGTCATCGATGATTCATGCAATCGTACTTGTTGCGAAAGGAATAAGACGCTGCCATACCGCGGATGTTGTCTTTCAAACCGCCGCCTTTTAAACCGTCCAGAGAAAATGAGCTGCTTGAAGCGACGGGTGCTACGGTACTGTTATATATGCCGCACTATTCGGTGATGTTTACTGGACAGTAAAGCAATATATTCATGGGTCATCCTATATATACCGCGAGATGCACGCTAACGCGATCGATAGCGGTATGTAAGGTCCAACTAGTCGTGATAGAAATAAACTGATGCATATCGCATCGATGGATATACAGTGCAGTAGGTGTTTCAGTAGAAGGACAATTCACATCTATTAGCATATACATTCTTCTGTTTGATATTGCAAGAACCGTATTAGACACAAACATAGCACAGTGGTCCTGGTGGACTCGACGAGAGGTTTGGGCTACCTGGTGAAGGACAGCTGGTCAATGAAAATGTGTCGACAGTGTCGACTGTACTGGGAAGACGTGCCCCCCATGGACAAAGATTCTGGTTGAACGCGTTCGCATTGAGGAACATTCGCCCCATATCAGTGACAGAAGAAACATCCCATGATGACAAGTTCTGGTTGAAGGAAGTTGCACCGTTGAACATTTGATTCATTGCAGTGACGGAAGAAACATCCCATGATGAAATGTCTTGATTGAAGGATGTTGCGTAGTAAAACATTTGTCCCATGTCCGTGACAGAAGACACATCCCATGATGCCATGTCTCCATTGAAGGATGACGCCCCCGGAAACATACTCACCATCGTCGTGACGGATGAAACATCCCATGATGACAAGTCTTGATTGAAAGCTGCTGCATGTTGAAACATCCGCTCCATAGTTGTGACAGATGAAACATCCCATGATGACAAGTCTTGATTGAAAGCTTTTGCATTTTGAAACATCCGCTCCATGTCTGAGACCGATGAAACAACCCATGATGACACATCTTGATTGAAGGATGTTGCATGGAAAAACATACGTCTCATGTCCACGACAGAAGACACATCCCAAGATGCCATGTCTCCATTGAAGGATGACGCCTCCGAAAACATGTTATACATCGTCCTGACAGATGAAACATCCCATGATGACAAATCTTGATTGAAAGCTGCTGCACTTTGAAACATCTGCTCCATGTCTGTAACCAATGAAACAACCCACGACGACAAGTTTTGGTTGAATGAAGTTGCATAGGAAAACATTTGATTCATTGTAGTGACGGAAGAGACATCCCATGACGATACGTCTCGATTGAAGGATGTTGCGTAGTAAAACATTTGTCTCATATCCGTGACAGAAGACACATCCCATGATGCCATGCCTCCATTGAAAGATGACGCCTCCGAAAACATATTCAACATCGTCGTGACCGTTGAAACATCCCATGACGACAAGTCTTGATTGAAAGCTAGTGCATTTTCAAACATCCGCTCCATGGTTGTCACCGATGAAACAACCCATGATGATATGTCTTGATTGAAGGATGCTGCATAGGAAAACATTCGTTTCATATCCGTGACAGAAGACACGTCCCATGATGCCATGTCTCCATTGAAGGATGTTGCAAGGTAAAACATAAATTGCATATTTGTGACCGAAGAGACATCCCACAATGGCAAGTCTCGATTGAACAATGGTGCGCTTCGCAGCATGGACTGCATATTAGTTACAGAAGAAACGTCCCATGATGAGATGTCTCCATTGAAAGCAGATGCCTCACAGAACATGAACTGCATGGCAGTGACGGAAGATACATCCCATGACGACAAATCTTGATTGAAGAACGATGCTTTCTCAAACATCGCCCTCATATCAGTGACAGAAGAAACATCCCATGGTGATATGTCTTGATTGAAGGCCGTTGCACCACTGAACATAAACTCCATCCGAAGGACAGATGAGGTAACCCATGATGATATGTCTTGATTGAATGATGCTGCATTGTAGAACATTTGGTTCATATTAGATACAGACGAAACGTCCCAATTCGAAATGTCTTCATTGAACGTGCCCCTATTCTTGAATAGCTCTGACATATTTGACACACCTGCATCAAAACACCAATCACCCATCAATCCATATTCGGCCTCAACCGATGCCTGGGAACCCCCGAACCAGTCAGCAACTGCATCTGAAAGCTCAGTGTTGCCCTGAAAACATGGAATAGAAGATTGAGCGGAAGGTACAGCAGATGTTTCCAGCGATGGTACCAGCGAGGGCGTATATGAGGGTGAGGACGACGGCTCAATTGTTGGTGATATAGAAGGTTCGGATGACGGATCAGCCGACGATAGTGGTGTAGGCGGTGGAGTTGGGGCAGGGGCTGGGAATGGCGTTGGCTCCAACGTCGGACCAACTACAGGTTGTAGTGTCGGAACAGAAGTTGGCCTCTTTGTAGGACTTTGTGTTGGAGACCTCGTCAGTGCATTGACAGGGGCTTCGGTTATTTTCGATGAGCTTGGTGCTGTTGTCCGCGCCCACGTGGGCTCGTCTGTAGATGGATATATCACTGGCGCCCTTGTTGGATTCATTGATGGTAATCGGGTTGGTGGGACTGTCGTTGAAAGGAAAGGATGTTAGTATAAGACAAGGAGAAGCTTAGACCTTCCTTTTGTGGCAGTACTTACCAGTTGGACTTTCAGAAGCAGCGTCGGACCCAATTTCCACAACAGTAATTCTCTCAAACGGTGATAGCAACCCCAACCGCTCTACCAACGGTGCTTCGCGGAACAAGTCCATAACCTCTTCCAAAAATTCAGCTGAGGAAGCCGTACTTCGGACATAGATGTCAAGGTGTATGACAAAACGATAACAAGGAGTCTCCGAATCATGCAAACAAGTAGCCACAGCGCCAACTTCAGCATCGACCAACGCAGTGACAATAGAGCTTTCAGTTTGCAGACGCCTACGTTCAATTGTGCAGCCAGCCAACAAGGGCATGAGGATGCGCTGAACCTCTTCTTCCAGTGTCATAGTGAGAGGCGATAGATCTTCAGTCTCAGAATCTAAAGTGACATCCATCAAGATGTCGTATCCTTTTACAACTATCAATTGATCTTGCTGTGCCATGACAGGAGTCCCATTGGCAATGGCATCACAGGCCTCTTGGACAGACGGACTTGAACTCGGAGCTTTGGATGAAACAATTTCAAACGCTCTGATGAAATGGATATCATCAACACGCGAAGCCAAGAATAGTAGTCGCAGCAGTCCTTCATTGTCAAACATATCCGTTATTAGGTCCAACATAACCTCTTTTTCCACGTCGTCATCTTTCGAAATGACATCAAACTCCAAATCAACAGAAGAACAGACATTTTTAGAACTCTTGTTGCATGCTGCAGGATCGCCAATGGAGACAAAGTTGAGCACAGCGTTCTCAACAATGAAAATGTTGTTTTGGATGATGCTAGGAGCTCGTAGCTCACACCCAGCAATCCCAGGCAGAACGTCTCGCTGCATTTTCAGTTGAAGCTCTGCTCTAAGCAAATCCATGTTGACTGTAGAGTCCAATAAAAGTTCCAATTCTACTCCAAAGGTTTTCAGTATCAATCCCCCTTGGTCTTCGGTTTCCATCCCCTTTGAGATTGCTAGACAATCTTCTTCAGTGGGTGGATCGTAGGTTAGATATATGATCGTATCGCCCGAGTCTTTGGATACCACCATCCATGTAATGACTCCTGCCGCAATCACGAACACCACAAAAGCGCCGAACATGTACATGTATTTTCGGCTTTTACGGTCGCCCTTGGGTGCAGGGCTAGCCACAAAGACCTTCTGACCTTCCGATCTCCCTCGCCGAAGAGCAGCTTCGATTTCGTCCTCATCGGGGGCAGCTATCGCCTCAAGAGGAGTGCGATCCGAGGAATGAGAAGTACTCCCTTGGGATCTGTCAGATCTTCTGTGCTTTCGTTTGCTTTTCTTTTTATGAGTGGAAGTGGAGGAAAGTTCCGTTCGATTGTTTTCCGATTGAATACTCTTCGGAATAAGTTCCATGTGGTTTGAGAGAACTGCTCCTGGGCCTGATTTCATACTGTATCTCGCACCAGCCAATTTCATTGCTGCATCCTCATCATCATCCTCTTCCTCATCGGAATCGGATAGTAACCCGCCATTATTGGAATGGTGTGATGATCGAGCTCGTCCCTTTGCCTCTTGATCCAGTTTCTTTCGAAGTCCATGGTCTGATTTACGCTTGGATTCCTTGTCGATATCCGCGGATCGGTAAAACTCTGGGGTTTCCACTGCGAGATCGTCATCCGACAAGTCTTCATCGTCGTTGTCCGACACAACATGTTTGGCTTTCGAGTGCGAGCTAGAAGACATCCTCCTTGATGTCTTGCTCCTCCTTAAGGACTTTCGACTAGATCTCCGGCGGTGAGGAGAGGAGTGTTTACTGCCTGCAAGATTACCGTCCGACTTGCTGCTTCTAATTTTGCTTGAGCTTGAGCTGCGACGATGATACTGAGGGCTTTGTCCCACAACAAGATCATCAATGTCAGGAGACTTCACATTCTTGGAACGAGATTTGGAGCGCGAATGCGACGAACGTCTTGATTTGCTTCCTCCTAATTCGCGGCTACTTTTAGACTTTGAATGCCTTGTGCCGGAAGTGGATTGCGAAGATCCTGAGTTAGAAGCTGTCATGGTTTGTAATGTGACAATATGATAGCAACGATGCTCGGCATTTCGGACTGTGCGATCAGAAAAAACGAAGATGAAATGCCGAAATTTCAAGGGCAGAGGGCAAAATATCACACTTTTGACATTTGTATTTATAGGCAAGTTTGCATCCGATTCCTCTGGTGGTGGATGTTTTATACCTCGCCGGTAGCAAATGCCTCCGCGATGTTAAGTACGCGGAAGTCTAAAGCAATCCGGCGAATTCGAGAATTTTTCCGTCCATCTCGTCCCATAAAACAGACGAAGATTGATTCTCTAACGTAGACGAAAGCTCGAGAACGAATCATATCAATATTGGATTCCTTTCATCATACTGACGACGGTCGAACGACCGTCACAACAGCATTGCTCAGCAACACCAAGTCCAATCAGTTTATCGAACTTGTGTGCGAATATACGTCAAGAAATAAGGTTTACAATGCCTCTCTTGCAGGTAATACGTGTAGAGATTGATGTCGACACTGGCGAAATTGTTCACCAAATGAGGCGCAAATTTGACAGTGCAGAGATACTATGCTTTGATTTCCCTCCCTCCAGTTCCGGTGTGCTGATCTCCAAAAGTATGTGATGAAAAGACAAGACTTCCCTGTATTTATACAGTGAGTGTTGAGTGTTAACTTATTGTATTGGAAAATGAAAATGACATCGGGTCCAACTAGTCCATTATTCGCATTCATCCTTGAAATATGAACGAGCAGCAAATATAATATGCGAAAAAGTAAAATATTATTGTAGGAATAATTTTATTGATTCACATCTATTAGCATATACCTTCTTCTGTTTGATATGTGGGGACCTCCATTAGACACAAAAGTGGCAAAGTGGCCCTGGTGGACTCGACAAGAGGTTTGGGCTACCTGGTGAAGGACAGCTGGTCAATGAAAATGCGTCGACAGCATCGACTGTACTGGGAAGAAGTGCCCCCCATGGACAAAGATTCTTGTCGAAGGCGTTAGCATTAAGGAACATTCCCCTCATATCAGTGACAGAAGAAACATTCCATGATGACAAGTTCTGGTTGAAGGAAATTGCACCATTGAACATTTGATTCATTGTAGTGACGGAAGAAACATCCCATGCTGAAATATCGCCGTTGAATGATGAAGCACCGTTAAACATTTGTCGCATGGGGATGACCGAAGAAACATCCCATGATGACAAGTTGCTATTGAAAGTTGATGCCCCGCTGAACATTTTTTGCATTGAAGTGACAGAACCGACAACCCATGATGATAGGTCTTGATTGAAAGATGATGCGCCCTGGAACATCTGATGCATAGTCGTTACAGCGGAAACATCCCATGATGATATGTCTCCGTTGAAAGCCGATGCTCCCTCAAACATTTCTCGCATGGTCCTTACTGAGGAAACGTCCCATGATGACAGTTCTTGATTGAAGGATCCAGCGCCAAAAAACATTAATCTCATATTGGTGACAGAAGAAACATCCCATGGTGTTATGTCTTGATTGAATGATGCTGCGTTGCTGAACATGCCATACATATTTGTCACAGAAGAAACGTCCCAGGCTGATATGTCTTGATTGAAGGAAGATACCGAGTAGAACATGCTATTCATATTGGTGACAGAAGAAACGTCCCATGATGACAAGTCTTGGTTGAAGGATGATGCTCCCCAGAACATTTCTTTCATGTCAGTCACCGAAGCAACGTCCCAATTCGAAATGTCCTCGTTGAATGTTTCCCTATCCTTGAATAGCATTGTCATGGTTGTCACATCTTCGCCAAAACACCAATCCCCTATCAGCCCATATTGAGACTCGACAACTGGCTTTGTCACAAGAGATGCGAACCAGTTGCCCACGGCATCTGAGAGCTCGGCGTTGCTTTGAAAGCATGAGATTAAAGAAGGGTGAAACGAAGGTGATGCGGAGGGTTTCGACGACTTTGCAACAGAAGGCTCGGATGAAGGGTTCGACGATGGTTCATCGGTTGGTGGCGCGGATGGCCTTGATGATGAATCAGATGACGGGGATGCACTCGGTTGTAGTGTCGGAAGCTGAGTTGCCTCCAACGGTGGACCAGCAACAGGTTGTATTGTTGGGAATCGGCTTGGCTCCGACGTTGGACCAACGACAGGTGGTAGTGTTGGAACAGGGGTTGGCCTCTTCGTAGGACTTCGTGTTGGAGACTTCGTCGGTGCACTGGCAGGGGCTTCTGTTGTTGGGAATGTGATCGGTATTCCTGTTGGTTCTCTTGTTGGATTTACTGTTGTTGCTATTGTCGGCGACCTGGTGGGCTCGTCTGTGGTTGGGTATGTCACTGGCGCCCTCGTCGAATCATTCACTGATGACGGTGGTTCGGTCTGTGGGACTCTCGATGGATGCACTGTGGAAGCGGTCGTCAGTTGGCGGAAAAACGATGTGCGCACTTTATTTTGGTTGTATATATATAGTACTTACGAGATGGACTTTCAGAGGTTTCGTTGGAAACAATTTCCACAACAACAATGCTCGCAAAAGGCGAATGTAACCCCAATCGCTCTACTAACGGTCCTTCACGGAACAATCCCAAGATCTCACCCAAAAAGTCAACAGAGGAACCGGTACGTCGGGCGTAGATGTCAATGTGAATGACATAACGATTGCAAGGACTGTCCGAATCGGACAAACAATCAGCACAGATGCTAACTTCAGCTTCGACCATTGCGTTGACAATGAAGCTTTTCATCTGCAAACGCCGACGTTCATTCGTGCAGCCAGCCAACAAGGGCATGAGCTTTCGCTGAATCTTTGCTTCTAATTGAATGGCATAGGGCAACAGATCCTCAATTTCAGAATCCAACGTAACATCCATCAAAATGTCGTACTCTTTGACAACCACCACAGGATCTTCCTGTCCCGCGACAGACGTACCATTCGCAATTGCGTCACAGCTCTCTCGCGATGGGAACCTATTTTCCTCTTGGATTGAAGGGCTTGAACTCGGAACAGGCGATTGGAGAAGTTCAAATGCCTTGATAAAATCAAGGTCTTGCACTGGCGAATCCAAGCTCAGCAGATCCAACAGTCCATCATTTTGAAAGAGTCTCATCACTAGGTCCAGCAGTACTTCACTCTCCACCTCGTTATCTTTCGAAAAGAGATCAAGCTCCAAATAAAGAGTCGAGCAAAGCTCCTCCGCACCCTGATTGCAAGTTTCAAAGTCACCGATGGAGATCGACTTTATCACAGCGTTCTCAACAACGAATATATTGCCTTTAGAGACTTGTGAAGATCCTTGATCGCATCCAGCAATACCCGGTAAAACATCTCGCTGCATGCTCGGCTCAATCTCTGTCAAAAGGAATACAATGTTGGCTGTAGAAGCCACCGTAAGATACATTTCCACTCCAAATGATCTGAGTGTCGTACCAATTTGGTCTACTGTTTGCATTCTTTGCGAGATTGCTAGACAATCTTCTTCTGTAGGTGGATCATATGTTAGATATATTGTCACGTCGCCCGAATCTTTCGATGTGAATAGCCATGTTATGACTCCAACCGTTATTGCGAAAACAGCAAAGGCTGCAAGCATATATTTGTACTTTTTGCGTTTGTTGTCTTTGGGTCTGGGGGCGGCAACAAATATCTTCTGGCCTTCTTCCCTGCCTCTCTGAAGCGCAGCTTCGATTTCGTCAACATCTGGGGCAGCCGTCGCCTCAAGAGGCGTTGCTACCATATGAGAAGAAAGGGGACACATTCCATCCTCGTTACCCGTTCTGAACTGTCGACTGCTGATTCTCAACGCGTTCATGTCAGTAGCACGATGAGAGCTGATCAAACCCTGAGCCCCTGGAGGGGGTCTTCGAGCGCTTTGCCTTGCACTCTTCCGAAGCTCACGAATGTTTGTTTGATTTGAAGCAGAAGCCCCAGGTCGATTGCTTTGCCATCCATCATTTGGAAGCTGCCTAATATTTGAAGCTCCCGGGCCATTTTTTTTACTGTATCTTGCACTTGCTAGCTTCAAAGCTGCATTCATATCCTCCTCCTCCTCCTCACTCAAAGAACCCCCTGAGGTTTGCGACAATGATCGAGCTCGCATCTTTGCCTCCTCATTAAGTTTCATTTGACGCCTAGAGCTGGGGCGACCGGACCGTCTGCTGCTGAGTGGATCATTATCGTCCGATGACGAGCCATGGACTGCACCAGGTGTAGCAGCGGCTGTGCTACGTCTCGATTTCCGTTTTGCCTCCCTGTCACTTTTCGGGGAGCGGTGTGACTTTGGGCGATCAGTGGGTTCGCCAAGCGCTAGATTGTCATCAGGCATCTCGTCGTTCGAGACATACAACGTTTTTGGCTTGCTCCTTTGCCTTTGACTTGATCTTGGGCGACGATGAGAATGCTCACTGACTGAAAGCGTTTCGTCTGATGAAATTAACGTTTTCGAGTGCGAACTTGAAGACATGGTTGACTTGGTCCTCCTTGGCTGTTGACTGGATTTTCGGTGGCGATGAGAATGTTCACTATCTCCAAGATTATCGTCTGACTTGCTTCTTCTTTTCTTGCTTGACCTGTGACGATGTGAACTTTGTCGCAAAACAAGGTCATTGTTATCAGGAGACTTGGAGCAAGATTTTGATTGCGAATGCGAGGCGTATCGTGATTTGCTCGTGGATCCACGGGCCGGAGAGGAACTAGGCACCTTATCGCAGATGGTTTGGGAAGATTCTGTGTTAGTAGCTGTCATGGTTCTTGCGCTTCTTCGACTTGCCAAATTGCAATGCCTAATAAACCGGTAGGCAATTTTATGAAGCTTTGTCGAAATGAGAAAAGTGTGTTTCAAGTTCTTGTTTGGAGAAGCCTAATAGGCCGAAATTAAATTACCGGGATAGGGCTCTCTCTCTCTATATATATTAAAATAATATATTATCGGTGGAAGAAAAAAACACATGATACGAAGAATTGCGCTCGCCAGCCATTCGTTTAGTTCGTGGTAACCCAATCCAGTGGCGCATGTTGAAGCATTTGTATTTCTTAGGGTTGCGTTGTCATCACGATATAGCAAACAGAGATACTGTAGTTTCGTTGGACGGAAGGGAGAGGCAGATCTATCAAAAGGCGGTTTGTGGACATGAGGTCATCATTTTGCAATGTGGACTCTCCATAGACGGATCAATCGGGTAGATGAATGTTTCTTCTCTATAGCTTACTGTGGGTAAAAATCTAGCCTAGACACATATGTGACAGAATGGACCTCGTGGATCCGAAGTCAAAACTGGGTTATCGACCGAAGGGCATTGGGTGTTTGTGAATGCATTCAAAACATTGATGGAGCTGTTCAGAATACGCGGCCCCCAAGGGCAAAGATTTTGATTGAAAGCGTTTGCGTTGAAGAGCATTTGATCTATGCTAGTCAGAGAAGAAACATCCCATGATGACAGGTCTTGATTGAAAGATGATGCTTGGTAGAACATCTGTCGCATATCAGTCACAGAAGAAACATCCCAACTGGAAATGTCCTCGTTGAATGTCCATCTATTGAAGAATAGCTCTGCCATACTTGTCACACCTGCACCAAAACACCACTCTCCGATCAGTCCATATTGGGCCTCGACTGAAGATTTTAGCTCAGAGGAGATGAACCAGTTGCTAACGGCATCCAGGAGATCATTGTTGCTTTGAAAGCAAGAGAAGGAAGAGGGAGACTGAGCCGAAGGTGATGCAGAAGGTTTCGGTGTCTGGGCCAAAGAAGGCCCAGATGAAGGTAGAAAAGACGGCTCGGGTGTTGGTGACACCGATGGTCTGGCTGTTGGATCAGCTGAGGGCGATAGAGTCGGTGAAACACTAGATGATACAGTCGGCAAAGCACTGGGTTGCAGAGTGGGTGACGGGGTTGGCTCCAACGTCGGATCCAACGTTGGACCAACAATAGGTTGCAGTGTTGGAACAAAAGTTGGCTCCAGCGTTGGACCAACTACAGGTTGCACTGTTGGAACAAGAGTTGGCCTCTTCGTAGGACTTCGGGTCGGAGACTTTGTCGGTGCATCGACAGGTGCTCTTGTTGCATTCCTTGTTGGTGTTATTGTCGGCGTTTTTGTGGGCTCGGCGGTAGTGGGGTATGTAACTGGTGACAACGTTGGATTCACTGATGGCGATTTGGTTGGTCGGACTGTTGATTGGTGCACAATGTAAGAGGTTGTAAGTAGATAGCGAGGAAAAGTCCACATTTAGAGTTGGTCTCAGTACTGTACTTACCAGATGGACTTTTAGAAGCGTCGTCGGAAAGAATCGCCACAGTTGTAATGCTTCTAAAAGGTGACAGTAGCCCTAAACGCTCGACCAATGGTGTTTCGCGAAACAATTCGGTAATCTCACCCGCAAAATCAACTGCGGTATCGGTAAGATGAGCATAGATATCAAGGTTTATGACAAAGCGATGGCAAGGGCTCTCGGAACCAGGCAAACAAGCATCATCGGTGCTAGCTTCAACAGAGACCAAAGCGTTGACGATAGAGCTTTCAGTCTGAAGACGCCGACGTTGATTTGTGCAGCCAGCTAAGATGGGCATGAGTATGCGCTGAATCTCCTCCTCCAGTGTCATGGCTTGCTGCGAGAAGTCGTCAGTTTCTGAATTCAAAGTGACATCCATCAAGATATCGTATCCAATGACAACTACCAATGGATCTTCCTGTCCCGCGACAGGAGTACCATTGGCAATGGCATCACAGGCCTCTTGGATTGACGGGCTCGAACTGGGAGATTCAGATGAGGTGATTTCAAATGCAGTAACAAAGTAGATATTTTGCACTGGCGAAGCCAAGTACAGTAGATCCAACAACCCTTCATTGTTGAACATATCCTTGATCAGATCCCGCAATACTTCGTTTTCCACATCGTCATCTTTCGAAATGACATCAAACTCCAAATCAACAGAAGAACAGAGATCTTCGGAGTTCCGGTTGCATGTCACAGGGTTGCTTACAGAGATCGACTTGACCAACGCGTTCTCAACAATGAAAATGTTGTTTTGGATGATGCTAGGAGCTCGTAGCTCACACCCAGCAATCCCAGGCAGAACGTCTCGCTGCATTCGCATTTCCAGCTCGGTTTGAAGAAACCCAATGTCGATGTTAGCAGCCACTGCAAAATCCAGTTCAACTCCAAAGAACGTCCCTGTCTTTTCCACCTGGTTTTCGGTCTCCGTTCCCTTTGAGATTGCTAGACAGTCTTCTTCAGTGGGTGGATCGTAGGTTAGATATATGATCGTATCGCCCGAGTCTTTGGATACCACCATCCATGTAATGACTCCTGCCGCAATCACGAACACCACAAAAGCGCCGAACATGTACATGTATTTTCGGCTTTTACGGTCGCCCTTGGGTGCAGGGCTAGCCACAAAGACCTTCTGACCTTCCGATCTCCCTCGCCGAAGAGCAGCTTCGATTTCGTCCTCATCGGGGGCAGCTATCGCCTCAAGAGGAGTGCGATCCGAGGAATGAGAAGTACTCCCTTGGGATCTGTCAGATCTTCTGTGCTTTCGTTTGCTTTTCTTTTTATGAGTGGAAGTGGAGGAAAGTTCCGTTCGATTGTTTTCCGATTGAATACTCTTCGGAATAAGTTCCATGTGGTTTGAGAGAACTGCTCCTGGGCCTGATTTCATACTGTATCTCGCACCAGCCAATTTCATTGCTGCATCCTCATCATCATCCTCTTCCTCATCGGAATCGGATAGTAACCCGCCATTATTGGAATGGTGTGATGATCGAGCTCGTCCCTTTGCCTCTTGATCCAGTTTCTTTCGAAGTCCATGGTCTGATTTACGCTTGGATTCCTTGTCGATATCCGCGGATCGGTAAAACTCTGGGGTTTCCACTGCGAGATCGTCATCCGACAAGTCTTCATCGTCGTTGTCCGACACAACATGTTTGGCTTTCGAGTGCGAGCTAGAAGACATCCTCCTTGATGTCTTGCTCCTCCTTAAGGACTTTCGACTAGATCTCCGGCGGTGAGGAGAGGAGTGTTTACTGCCTGCAAGATTACCGTCCGACTTGCTGCTTCTAATTTTGCTTGAGCTTGAGCTGCGACGATGATACTGAGGGCTTTGTCCCACAACAAGATCATCAATGTCAGGAGACTTCACATTCTTGGAACGAGATTTGGAGTGCGAATGCGACGAACGTCTTGATTTGCTTCCTCCTAATTCACGGCTACTTCTAGACTTTGAATGCCTTTTGCCGGAAGTGGATTGCGAAGATCCTGAGTTAGAAGCTGTCATGGTTCTAATGCCTCTTGAATAATATATAAGAATGTCAAGATAATTCATTTTCCATGTCGGCATTCGGTTTGGGGACCACGATCAGAAAAACGCAAGTACGGCTGCAAGTCTGAATGTTCGGCGAATAATAATGTGCAGATCTAAGTAATCTGGAGATAATTCAAATAACAAAATATCCATCCGTTCAATTAAACGCCTCCGTCTGATAAGAAGATTAAATTCTCTTTGCGGATTGCTCCTAATTCTTTTTCTTGGCGATGTGATGAAAAAGCACTTTCCGTGAGTTGCGTCACCGAAAAAGAAAAGAAGACGGCCCCAGAAATGAGTGACGCGTAAAAAATCAAAAGGCACGGTATGATCACGGTCCATGTTCAAATTCCGCGAGGCATGTGCGGTTTGTCGCTGGGCTACAGGATTATATTCCAGTCGAGTGCGTCGCACCTTTGACTAAGCAGAATCATATCAATTGGCCGGAATCATGACACACGGCAGGTGCTGCCTCATTTTTTATAGTATACTTACTCATGACACACGGCAGATGCTGTCTCATTTACTACCTATTGATTACATGACATTCCGGTTGACCAGCAGACAGTGCAATGGGTGGTCGTGCTAGTCGAACTGTCCATATCAATAATTAAGATTTTATAATCGATCAACTTCAAACTATTGTCGACGCACGAGGCACAAGTTGCGATGATCATATATTGAATATATCCATGCGCTTATTGCCTACATTCTGAAAATGCCATGTACTCTCGCACTTATGTCCTTACAACTGCAATACTCTTGGCTCTTGGATTTGCTCTTGCTGAGGTTAATGATTCTCCGATTTTCTTTCCATTAGTGAAGGATTGTGATTGGACAGAACTTACTTTTACATTCACATCTCCAGCATTACAATCCCCATCCCCATCAGATTCTATCGGCGGACCATACAACAGATCTCGCAGTCTCAGTAGAAGCTATCATCGACCGATCGTACTGAACTTTCGCGGTGGTGGTGTTGCTGGTGTAAAGCTCGACTCTTCAACCAATAAATCTTCATCAAACTCATCATCATCCGCAGCGACCGAGGGATGGAAGAATAGCATAGCGTCTGGCTTGGCATCGGTTTGTGCCAAGACTTTATTACAACCCTTTGATACCATCAAAACTGTGCAACAACATTCGCAAAGAGAAACCACTCTCACTCTAATGGAAGCCATGCAAGTTGTCGTGCAACGTGAGGGTAACTGGAAGGATTTGTACGCGGGACTAGTCGTCTCGGCATTGGGGAGTATTCCTTCCATTAGTCTCTATTATGGAATATATTCCTACTGCAAACGAGTCTTGTTCTCGTGGATGCTGGAAGCAAAACAACAAAAGAAAGGAAATATAGGTGCTGCTAGAGGATCGAACCAAGCACTCCGATTGCTGGCAGTGGCCATGGCAGCAGCTATTGGTACGTAATTGCCTCATGTTTCTTGCTTTCCCTGTATTTGTTCTATATTTATTCTGACATGATGTGGTTACTTTGCCATTACTCGCGCGTTAAGGCAATACCATTGCATCCTTTTCGCGAGTACCCTACGAGGTTGTCAAGCAAAAGCTTCAAACAGGACAGTACGCCAATACCGTTGACGCCCTTGTGTCTTTGTTTCGTCATAGTGGTTTCAGAGCCTTCTTTCCTCCCGGAGGTATTGCCATCCAAATGTTGCGCGATGTCCCGTATGCCATTGTCACTCTATTGGTGTACGAATATCTGCGGGATGTTTGGAATGCCGACCAAGATCGTCAAGTATGGAAGGATATGACGATCGGAGCCATTGCAGGAGGTGCTGGATCCTTCTTGACCAATGGACTAGATGTACTTAAGACAAGACTCCAGACAAGTCCCCCCGAAGTGTATGGGGGATCTATAGTCAAGTGCGCTCGCATCACGTTCCAAGAAGGTGGCATCTCGGCGTTTTTACGGGGAAGTACTTCGCGACTCATGCACAAGATGCCCGCCAATGGCTTTTTCTTTTACTTTTTCGAATTATTTCGGACCCTATTAAAAGTGGAGCGGTCAACCCTGGAACAGCAGGAAACATCAAATGGTACCAAGTTGAAGGGATAGTTCTAGAACAGCACAACAAAAGGGGCTACGGTCCTAACTCTTTTGGTAGAATGAATCGTCTCAGAATTCAAACACCGTTCTACAACGAACAAGTAACAATTCACATGCAATATACTATTTATTTGTAAAACCTAGACACAGCCGTGGTAAAATGGACTTGCTGGAGTCGACAAGAGGTTTGGGTTACCTGGTGAAGGGCAGCTGTTCGCTGAAAATGCGTCGACAGTATCAACCGTATTGGAGAGGCGGGCACCCCACGCACAAAGGTTCTGATTGAAGGATGATGCTTCCCGAAAGAGCACCCTGAGGGAAGCGACAGAAGAAACATCCCACGATGATAAATCTTGATTGAACGATGCTGCCCCTTTGAACATTTCAGACATATTCGTAACTGAAGATACATCCCATGATGATATGTCTGCATTGAAGGCTGATGCTTCTTCAAACATCAAAACCATTTCTGTGACAGACGAAACATCCCATGATGACAAGTCTTGATTGAAGGCTCTTGCGAGACGGAACGTCTCATACATACCTGTGACCGACGCAGTATTCCATAATGATATGTCTTGTTTGAAGATTGTTGCGCCACGATGTAGAGGGGTTGGTGGATGGCATAACTGACGGTGATGCACTTGGCACAAGCGTAGGCAATGGAGTTTGGACCAGTGTTGGGAATTGCGTTGGCGCCAATGTGTGGCCAACCACAGGTTGCACTGTTGGGGCAAGGTTGGACTTCGTGTATAGGAGATTTTCCGTTGTTAGGAACGTTACTGGGGCCCTTGTTGGAGTTACCGATGATACTGTCGTCGGCAACCTTGTAGGGTTGTCGGTGGTAGGGGATGTCCTCACTGGCGCCCTCGTTGGATTCACTGATGATAATTCATTTTTTGGGAGAGAAAAGATCGTCAGTGGACATTGAAAGGAGGGGCAGACTGTGCTGTGGTCGTACATACCTGATGGACTATAGTAGAGATCTCTTCTTCTTTCTCCAAAGTGCTCACAATGTCAATTCGCTTGAAAGGTATCATCAAATTTAATCTCTCGACCAAAGGTATAGCCCGAAACTTGGCATCAATATAGACGCTGTGAATCCGACTGAAGATGCAATGTTACTGAAGTAAATTCATATATTGACTACGTATGAACCTTCCGAATCAACTAAACACGCGGCACCATAATGGGAGGTTCGGCTTCTACTACCGCATTGACAATAGAGTTCTCAATCTGGAGGCACCGACGTTGATTGGTGCAGCCAGCCAACAAGGGCAGGAGGATGCGCTGAATCTCTTCTTCCAATGTCAAGGTATGAGGCTTTAAGTCTTTGGTCTCGGATTCCAAAGTGACATCCATCAAGATGCCGTACTCTTTGACGACTACAGCTGGATTATCCTACCCCGCGACAGGGGTATACCATTGGCAATTGCATCACAGCTCGCTTGAGATGACGAACCGCTGTCATCTCGGACGGATGGACTTGAAGATGGGGCAACAGATGGCAGAATTTCAAAGGATGTGGTAAAGTAGATATCTTCCACAAGTGAAGCCAAATTCAGCAAAACCAAAAGTCTGTCGTCTTGGAACAAATCATTGATTAGGTCTAGAAGTGCTTCACTCTTTCGAATAGATATCATGCTCTAAACAGACTGGAGAGCACATTCTTGTTGAATTGGAGCTGCATATCGCATAATCCTCAAGGGCGATAGACCTGAGCACAGCGTTCTCGACCACAAAAATGTTGTTTTCAATAATAGGAGAAGATCTGCGATCGCATCCAGCAATCTCTGGTAGAGCATCTCGCTGCAATCTCAGTTGAAGCTCTGTTTCAAGAAAGTCAAGATCGATGCTAGGAGCCACTCCAAACTCCATTCCTGCTCCAAAGTACTTAACTGTCGTTCCAATTTGGTCTTTTGTTTCATTTCCTTGAGACATTGCTCGACAATCTTCTGATGCAGGATGGTCATAGGTTACAAAAATATTAACTTCTTGAGGTCTTCCTGCTACCAACAGCCATTTTATGACTCCCACAGCAATCGCGAAAATAACAAAGGCGGCGAAAATGTATTCGTACTTTTTGCTTTTATCGTCGTCCGATGTTGCAGGGGCAGCCACAAATACCAGATTGTCTCTCTTCTCTCCCCGATGAGCAGTTTTCATCTCGTCAATAGTAGTCGCCTCCAATGCCTCGACGTTTCCAGTCCGTTGAGGTACGCTGCTTCCAGGCTGATCTATAGGAGAAAGAATGACCTCGTTCTCGTTTGTGTCACTGTTCCTCGCAGGAGAGTTGTGATGTCTGCTGCTGATCATGGACGATTTCTTGTTGGCAGCGCAGGAGCGACATGGCGCTCCGCGATGTCTTGAAGATGTCAGATTCAGACAAAGTTGTGTCCATAGGGATATAGGCAGCGGAGACTTTGATCCATCGCCCTTGCGTCGAACCCCTCGGTTTACTCCTTTCGTCTCGACAAATGCACCAGGCATGGCAAGTCCAGAGGTCTTCCGTCGTACTCGTATCTTGGCCTCTTGATCATTGGCCAAAGAGTCGTTGGAGTCCCGGGATCTTGACCGGTGATGTCCAGTAGATCGTTTAGAAGTGTCAATGGCACCATCATTAGAGTCTCTAGACTTGCGCCGAGAAGGAGACTTAATGGATCGTCGGTCTGATACGCCCACCGCAATCCCATCCATAGAATCTTTGGACTTTTTGCGTTCACGTTTGCCTCTTGATGATGACCCACCAAGCTCATCGCTGTCATGGGAGTCTCTTGATTTACGTCGAGAAGGGGGCTTTGAGGGTCGTTTTCCAGGGTCGCCAAGGCCATCATCATCATCATCATCATCTTTCGATCGCCTTCGTACAGGCTTCGCTTGTGACGATTTACGCTCCGAGGCAACCAGGATATCATCAACCAAGTCTCGAGAGGATGGCCGATGTTTGTTAGACCGGCTCTTTCGTTCTTCTCTGTTGGCATCGCCGGCTTCTTGACTCGCTGCCTTTTTCTCGCCTTCTTCACTCATGCTAATAATGATCGTCTACTAAATGTATGCTGATACCTTGATTCTTGTCAGAGCGTAGGTGTTGATGAGATTTGATGCTTCAGAAAACCTGCCGCATGAATTGAAATCTATATGACATCTCCCATTTACAAAACTCAATCGACAGTAGCATTCTGATCTTGCTTGATCATGCAATGACCTTCATTCAAGATCAGTTACTTTTATTCTGGCATACATCCAAGATCAATCATATGGCAATCCAAGATAATCATAAGCCTCCTTGTTGCCATCGGACTTTTCAATTTAGAATTCGTTATTCCGGTCGGTGTATTTCCAATGACCGTTGAGTCCACGGAGTCGATTCATGATTCAACCATTCATGATTTGGTTCAAATACCGTATATCTGTACACTCCCCACCAACTGTTCCTCTCAATTTTGAACCAAAAAATACCGATGTTAGAAGTATTAATAAATCGAATGTTGCAAAACGGAACTGAAAAGGAGCCTACCGGTTCTTCTGTTTGACCAGATATTTCAATTTTGAGCTAAATGCAAAGTGAGTCTCGCAGCGGTGCAGTAGTCATCATAGGTTACAGTATGCTCTGGTTCTATACAGTCGTAGTTTTGCAGTAAACACTGCAACAGTGATTCGCAATATCTTTTTGATATTAATACCTACAAGACTGTCAAAAAACATTGCAAGAAACATAAAATTTAAAACAATGATTCAAGATTCGTAAGACAGAAGTTGCTAATTCCGTTGACCTGTATATCGTTCTGTACACTCTGCATGCTTTTAGGCCAAAAGTTCCAGTAGCTTTCCTTGCTTCGCTTGGGAACTGAACCTGTTATCATTCAAAATAGATGGGAGATCCATGGAACAAAACGTTTGGCAGAATCGAATATTATCGTCTTTCGTTTCTGCTGACTTTTGCTTTTTTGACTTGGAGGTATCAAATTGTTCCAATTCTTCTGCCTTGCGCTTGGCATCTTCAATGACACAAGCTGGAACATTTGCCATTTCGGCAACTTGGATCCCAAACGACTCCAAACAGGGACCCGGCTGGACTTGATACAAAAAGGTCAATCCCTGTTGTCCCTTTTGGGCCGTAACATGACAATTCTGAATCCCTTCCATGGCCGTCAATTCGTGAAAGTGCGTAGCAAAGACTACCATGCATCCAATATTCTGCAACACATGCTCCGAAATGGCCCTGGCCAATCCATATCCATCAAAAGTACTCGTTCCCCGTCCCAATTCATCAATAATGATCAAACTCCGCTTGGTGGCGGTTCGTAGAATACTCCCTGCCTCGAGCATTTCCGCCATGAAGGTACTAATGCCTCGTTCTTGTAAATCCCCCGCTCCCACCCGCGCCAGAATGGAATGACACAAATTGATGGTGGCTGCATCGCATGGCACATAGGATCCAATTTGCGCCATGCACACAATGGCTCCCAAACTTCGAATGTACGTCGATTTGCCGCCCATGTTGGGCCCCGTCACGATGCAAAAGTTCGAGTCTCCAAATGTTAATGTCACGTCGTTCGGAATGAACTCGACGTCTTCCTGGAGTTCCACACAGGGGTGTCGAGCGGCCTTTAGCTCAATCCCAAATCCAGGGTCGTCCGAATCCGTCAAGGTAGGCTTGCAATATCCATGGACCGAATAGGCAGCCGTATGCGCCAAACCACAGAGGACATCCAAGGTGGCCACTACTTGGGCCGCCCGTTCCACGACGGTTTGATAGGACGTGGCCACTTCCATGGCATTTTGGACAATTTGTTGGGATTGTTGGGAATAGGATTCCATGAGTTCTTGGTATTGGGCCGACAGCGCTCTCAGTGGTTTGGTGGAAAAGTAGACACCATTTTTGAGTAATCGATGGGTCTCGAGGCCGGATCCCAAACACTCTAAAAGTTTCAAGTCGTTGGTATTGGGCAATCGAAATTGCCAACTGACGACATTGTCAAAGGTACATTTTTCCAAGCGGACTTTGGTGGTTTGGTTGGAGGAATCTGCCCACAATTGTTGCATGGCATCCAATTCATCATCCACATGTTGATGAACGGCTTCAATTTCTTGATTCAAACTAGACAATTCTTCGGAAAATTGGGATTGTACAAGGAAATCTCGTGGGGCGGCATCCAAATCCAAGACGGCTTCGACCAAACCCGACGCCCGCGAAAGTTCTCCGGCCAGCTGTTGCAACTGAATGTGTAACTCTTGGAGTAGACTTGACGATTGAAAATCCTCTTGCAAGCCTTCCGTGGCTTCGAGCAAATTGGGCAATTGCTGTCGGGCCAACAACCACAATTGGTACATGGCCTTGAGCGAGGCTTGGGTGGTGAGTGCGTTTTGTCCCTCGGCACCATAATTGGCCAAGACGGTCGACAAGTGCACCATGTCAATTCCGCTCATGCCCCGCAAAGCATCCCGAATCGAATCCTTGCCCAAACCCAACAGAGACGAAACGGCATCCTGGCGGGCCTGAATTTTATTCAAATCAATCAATGGCTGTTTGAGCCAAATTTGCAACTTGTGCTTGCCCATGCTTGTGAGTAATGGCTTGGCGAGTAGTCCATAGATACTGTTGTTGGAAAAGTGGCCACCCACATGCGAGGCCACCCCGGCATTGGGGGGCGGCAACAAATGAATGGCTTCGGCCGCCGTCTGGTCCATGACGAGATGAGAATTCAAAATGCCCTTGATCAATTGAAAGGAGGAGGAGGACGAGGACGAGGAAGAAGGATCGTTGTCATGACTCAAAGTCGTGGACAAGTGCAAGGCAAGGCCCTGTTGGAGTAAAGAACCCTTTTGAAGTTGGGTGTTACCCTTGAGTCCTAGCCACGAATCTTCCAAGAGGATGGATTGCAAGGTGGATTCCATTTTGGAATGATCCTTGACAATGGATGGGAGTTGCTCATGCAACTTACAAGTGGCTTGTTTCTCCAAACGTTCGTCTAGAAAACTTGTCAAGGCCGAACCAATTCGGTCCAATCGATGACGGTACTTGCTGTTGCTGGATCCTCCTTTTTTGGATTTCATTGGCGTTATTGTATCATCATCTGGATCGTCTGCAGCAGTCGAGAAACCATCCACACTGGCAAGATGAACTTGTTCCAATGCCGGTTTTTTATTTTTACCAGTAGTAATTTCCTCCTCGTCGTCGTCGTCCATGTTAGACACAGCATTCAGCTTGAGCAACAATTGGTCCAAATGTGTGAAACGACGAGCATCGTCCAAGAACTCAAAATATTCCAAAGTATACTTGTGAGGATCGTCCTTGTTGCTACGCGCACATCGTTGTTGGGTCGTCCAAACGACCAAGGGAACCGTGTTATTGGAAGTGTGCTGTTTGGCTTGACTTCCGGATGCCAAGCTGCCAATCAGAACGGAAATGCAAGTGGTTTGAAACTCTTCGTCCAATGCTGCATTATTATTGTTGGTCATATTAGTAGTGTTTTCCGATTGAGGATGATGAGCTGCCGCATTAATATTGTTGTTGCTGCTTGCTTCAACGTTATTGTTAGTCGACATTATTGCTATAGGGTTGAGCGATTTGCTTCTTTCCTATTTGAAACGAGCAATCTATATGAGTATTAATATATCACTTTCAACAATAGATGTGATATATTATTATATTACAGTATATACAAATGATGATGAAGATCGTGCGGGATTTCATCGGTGACGATCGAGCCAGCAAGCGGAGAGGTGCATGCGGTAGGAATTCTACATGCTGTCCATCCATGCGCAGCGCATCAATTCCATGGTTTTTATGGCGCGCAAAAATATATTATTGAAGAAAACAAGATTATATATTGAATGTATGATTCAAGATGACAATAACATCCAATTCATCGTCGCTTCTAGGTTTCGTGCTAACAATGACAATAGCACAACAAACGTTGCTCTTCGCATTTTCACATGGATTATATATCATTAATTCCCTGGAACACAAAGGTTGCAGAATGGACCTCGCGGAGTCGCAGTCAGGTCTGGATCAGCTTCTAATGGACAGTTGGTGCTGGCAAATAGTCCCTCAAATTGGACATTTCCCTGCAGGATCGGGCCCCACGGACAAAGATCTTGATTGAAGGATGTTGCAAACTGGAACATCCGTCGCATGTCACTCACAGAAGAAATATCCCAGGATGACAAGTCTTGATTGAAAGCTGATGCGTATTGGAACATGTCTCTCATGTTTGTGACCGAAGATACATCCCATGATGAGATGTCTTGGTTGAAGGATTCTGCTTGGTTGAACATCAAAATCATGTTGGTACAGGATGCAAAATTCCACATGGATATATCTTGGTTGAACGCCGCTGCATTCGAAAACATTCGATCCGTGGATGTTACAGAAGAAACATCCCAGGATGCAATGTCTCCATTGAAAGCTCTGGCTTCGTCAAACATTTGGATCATGGAAGTGACCGAACCAACATCCCATGTTGAAATGTCGCCGTTAAAAGATCCTGCCCACTGAAACATGTTGTTCATCTTTGTGACCGAAGCCACGTTCCACAATGGCAAGTCTTGATTGAAAGGCGTTTCATAGAACATGAACGCCATATTGGTCACCGAAGAAACATCCCATCCTGACAAGTCTTGATTGAAAGATCGTGCGCCGTAGAACATGGAATGCATATTTGTGACAGAAGAGACGTCCCATTGTGACAAGTCTTGATTGAAGGCAGATGGATTTTTGAACGTAACTTGGAACATGTTGTTCATTTGGGTGACAGAACTAACATCCCATGTTGATATGTCTCCATTGAACGATGTTGCCATTTCGAACATCAATCTCATATTGGTGACAGACGAAACGTCCCACAGTGACAGGTTCTGGTTGAAGGATGAGGCACCCTGAAACATGCTTTGCATGTTGACCACAGAAGAGACATCCCAATTTGAAATGTCTGAATTGAACGTAGCACGATTCTTGAAGAGGTCCTTCATACTGGTCACACCGGCACCAAAGCACCAATCCCCTATCAAGCCATATTGGGTCTCAGTAATTTGCCTTCCAAAAGGAGAATCAAACCAATTGCCAAGTGCACCCGAGAGCTCAGTGTTGCTCTCAAAACATTGAGTTGTTGCTAACGCCGAAGGTTGAGCCGAAGGTGACTTGGAAGGTCGGGAGGAAGGTTGAACCGACGGTAACAAGGAAGGTTGGCCAGAAGGCTGACCAGAAGGTTGAGCCGAATCCAACACAGATGGCTCGGCAGTTGGTGTCAACGAGGATGCTGTTGTTGGATCAGCCGTTGGTGATGCACTGTCTGCAATCGTTGGGGCTGGAGTCGGTAATGGCGTTGGCAATGGCGTCGGCTCCAATGTTGGACCAACAACAGGTTGTAGCGTTGGAATAAGAGTCGGTGCACTGGTAACACCTAGCGTTGGATTCGATGACGGTGATAATGATGGTGCGAATGATGGCGCTATTGTCGGCGACCTTGTGGGCTCTTCGGTAGTCGGATATGTCACTGGCGCTGTCGTTGGATTCACAGATGGCGAATCAGTTGGGTTGTTCGATGGTTCCGCTAGTAGGAAAAAAAGATCGTTAGTTGACGGTGAAAGCATGAAAAAAGAGAATCAATCGCATACATTGCTTTGGTCGTATATACATACCAGATGGACTTTCCGAAAAAACAGCGTCAGAATAGATTTCCACAATCACAATGTTCTTGAAGGGTGCCAGCATCCCCAATCTCTCTACCAGCGGTGCTTCACGGAACTTTCCCACAATGTCGCTAGAAAAATCAGCAGAGGCAACAGTGCGCTGGACGTAAATATCAAGGTGGATGACATAGCGATAGCAAGCAGTCTCCGAATCAGGCAAACAAGCACCACCGATGCTAACTTCAGAATCTACAAAAGCGTTGACAACAAAGCTTTCAATCTGCAGGCGTCGACGTCGGTCAATTGTGCAGCCAGCTAGAGAAGGCAGAAGGAAGCGCTGGATCTTTTCATCCAGTTCCATGGTCAGCGGTGATAGTTCTTCAGTCTCGGAATCCAAAGTGACATCCATCAAGATGTCGTACTCCTGGGCCACCAGATCGTCTTGTCCCAAGACAGGGGTACCGTTGGCTATTGCATCGCAGGTCTCTTGAGATGGTGAACCGTTGTCAACTGGAACACCGCCGTCGTCTTGGATCGTTGGGCTTGAACTCGGATTCGAAGATGGGAGAATTTCATAGGCCGTGATAAAGTCAATATCTTCCACAGGCGATAGCAATTTCGGGTCTTGCAATAGTCCGTCCTCTTGAAATACATCAAAGATTAGGCCCAAAAGTACTGCACCCTGCACATCAGCATCTTTGGAAAATACATCAAGCTGCAAATAGACAAACGAACAGAGCCCCTGTGGATTTGAGCTGCAGGGTACAAGGTCGCCAATGGAGATCGTTTTGAGCACACCGTTCTCAACGATGAAAGTATCGCTTCCAGTCGAAGTGGAACTTTCTTTGTCGCACCCTGCAACAAGTGGTAGGACGTCTCTCTGGATTCTCATTTGAAGCTCGGATTGAAGAAATTCAAGGTCGACGTCAGGGGCAACTTCAAAATCCATTTCTACCCCAAAATATTTCACTGTCGTTCCCATTTGTCCTGCCGTTTCCATCCCCTCCGAGATCGTTTGGCAATCTTCAGTTGTAGGTGGAGAAAAGATCGAAGTTGCAGAGACATCATCAGGTTCGCTCGACTCACGTAGCACTAATAGCCATACCAATACTCCTGCTATAATCGCGAACACAACAAAGGCGGCAAGCATATATTTGTACTTTCGACCTTTGTTGTCTGGCCTCGCGGTCGCGACGATAGCCTTATTGCCATCTTCCTCGGTCGACTGATTCAGTGTTTGTTCTCTTACTTCCTGAGGAGCAGACGGAGGAGTCGATGCCATTTCGTCAACAGCCATAGCCTCGACTGCCTCAACATCTCCTGTCCATCCTACGCTGTTTGCTGCTGGAACACCGATCTCGTTCTCGGACGCCCCAGTTGACCTCCTGGATATATCTCTTTTTGTTTTTGCTTGGCGACTTCCCCGAGTTTCACTGGAAGCTCCAGGTCTTACAGCACCTCCAACAGATCGCCTGGCTTGATCCTTGGCTCTTCGGTCCTTGCTTTCTTGAGAAGTACCTAGCATCGTTTCTCCAGGTTGTCGTCGAGCTCGGTTCTTCGCTTCTCTGTCTGTGGTGTCTCTGTCTTTTGTCCCGAGAGATTCTTTGCCTTTGTCAGCCGAATCTCTCTTTCGTCGAACAGCTCGGTCTTCTCCTGCAGCCTCAACAAAAGCACCTGGCATTGCAGGGGCAGAGGACTTTCTTCGAGATCTTGCCTTGGCTTTTTCGTCCCTTGTGACAGAAGACTCATTGTTGTTCGCCAAAGAATCGTTCGAGTCTCGAGATCTTGACCTATGCGTAGAGGATCGTTTTGAAGTGTCGAGCGCATCAGAGTCTTTGGACTTGCGTCGAGAAGGGCGGTGAGAGGATCTTCGGTCTGATCCACCAAGCGCATCAGAGTCTTTGGACTTTCTTCGTTCCGGTTTGGCTCCTGAAGATCCGCCTAACTCATTATCATTCACCAAAGCGTCGTTTGTGTCCCGAGATCTTGATCTGTGCCCAGAGGACCGTTTTGAAGTGTCAAGGTTGCCATCGTGCGAGTCTCTGGACTGTCTTCGCGAAGGGCGGTGAGAAGATCTTCGGTCTGATCCACCAAGCGCATCAAAGTCTTTGGACTTTCTTCGTTCCGGTTTTGCTCCTGAAGATTTACGTTCCGAGCCGCCCAGGATATCATCCTGCGAGTCTCGAGAGGATGACCGGTGTCTGTTTGATCGGCTCTTTCGCTCTCCGTTGTCTTTTGAAGATTTACTTTCTCTACTGGGACGCTTCTCACCAGCTTCTTGATTGCCTGCATCTTTCTCGTCTTCTATACTCATGTTGAATCGAATGTTTGTGCGAGTATCTGTTTCTATTGCAATATATTGTGGCGAATATTTCCACAAGCACTCGAAGTAGGGAGGTGCAGAAGCTTTCTATGCTTTCTATTGGTATTGTTGTGGATGACTGAAGGATGAGGTGATTGGATGCGCAGTCATAAATAAAAACAGCAATAAGTACGCGAAATGACTGTATCGTAGTGTATACAGTAGTACAATTATACCTTTCAAAAATAAACAGAACAGATGCAAAGGTCATACGACGCGGGATATAATACACCAATAATGGAGCTCGCGGTACTCCGACAGAAGTTTCTGTTCGACACGCCAAATCGGCACAGAAGACGCAGAAGTGTTCCTATTTTAATACCTACTGTATAATATTATACCGGTACATCTGCTCGGGAATGAATGAATGAATCGCAGCTGTATCCAATGAATGATTATATCATGCGGCGTCTGGAAGTTGAGTCCAATCATAATGGGCGCAGGATATGCTTATAATGATATAATCAAACCCTACCGGTACTGTATAGGTCCAAGAGAATGGTGTTTAATGGTATCAGCCTACGCCCAATTCGAACCCAAGCTCTGGCACGAGCATCTAGCTGTTCCTATTCCGAAGCTGGCGTTGGTGGCCCCTATGATACAAGGCCAAATAAAACGAAGCACCTACACGCACATCTCCTCTTTGGAACTCAAACAAAGGACAGAGCCGTTTTCCAGAAGAAATTGCATTTGTTTGAAAAAAGACTTGCCAGCCAAAAACGGCGGGTTGGTTCGGGAAAAGTGTCGTTTATTGCTATTGTTCCGAAGGTCGCTATGGCAGCCCATAGCGACAGAAACCCACTCGACAATACACCATCTCCTTCTTTGGAGCCCCAAGGTCAGAGGAGTATGCGATTCACCGATAGAATTGGTCTAAATCAAGGGTACAAAGTAAGCAAAGCCACAATTGAACGCATGGTGGTCAGCTTTTAAAACCTTCAAACTTATTGAAATGAGCTTTGGGCCACGGTTTCTCATTGATCTCGTTCCAAGGGCACCCGCTGAGTCTATGGGATTCTCTTAAAGTTTATCTAACCTAGAGCAGAGGTCGAATTTTGAAGATGACCCGCCTCTAGTATTGATGACTATTATGATATATATAATCTTGTTCAGAACAAGATTTCGTATCGCACAAGAGTAGTAGTACCGGTACCGGTACCGGTAGGCTCTATGCACTATGGCATCCACCTCGTCACTCTCAACTTGCGTGCAGGCGAATTGCCTGTTGAATTGGTCTAATCCAAGCATATGGTGGCCTAAATGGGGTCAATTGGTATACAGCGCAGATGACGTTGGGCCGATACTCTATGTCCATTTTTGTAGTGGGCTGAACATGTTTCAATTTCAACAACATGCAACACATTTTCATAGTATTATCAATAATACTTTTTGTAAATAAAACATGCAACTTGTTCTACAAATACACACTGCAATACAGCAATCTCTCAACCTTGATTGATGATTTCAGCGGGTCCAAGGCTAGGAATTGAATAGGAAACAAACCTTTCAAAGACACCATCGCTCTCGATCTTCACCTCATTATCTCTCGTCAAAGTAAAGGAGCCGCCAGCGGATAAGCCATCCTTGAAGGAATCCCTGATTGTGAAGGTGTAGGAACCAAAACTCGTCCCACAAATGGACTCTTCTACCCATTGATATCGTTCAAAGTACGGTCCTCCTGAAGCCAACACAAGACCACTGCTATCGTCCAACAGTTCCCAAGTTGTCTCCACAGGATATCGATCGGTCTGGAGAGTCAAATGCATCAGCACATCCAAACAAACTTGGTCGGGACTAATCTCAAGTTCCGTGAAATTGCCAATTGCACCATTGTTATGATAGATTTGAAAGCCTTGGTACCATATCTTGTAGTAACCATTTCCTTTGCCACAGCAAAAGCCATCTCCAAAATCATCAAAGAATCTCAAATAATGCAATCCATCATCGGCCAAGCAATGTTCTTCTTCAACCAGCGCATTGTTCTCGTATCCACCTCCCCCGGTGATCATTCTGGGTGGATCCGTTTGCCAGAGTTCCCATCTCGTCTCGGCCGCATAATTGTCCAATTGAATTTCAATTTTCATTTTTGGAGCAAAACATCTAGAAGTCACTTCGACGGTAGGAGGTGCCGTTCCAGAAGTGGTGGGCAAGAAACTGGGCTGGAGTGTTGGCGGCGACGTCGTGGGTGGAGAAGTGGATGGAAAGGGAGTTTTGGGGATTGGGGCCTCTAGAAATTCTTTAATTTCCTGAAAGATACCAGGTCCTTCCATGGGAACGGCTAAGTTGCCATCTCGGCAATTGGTATTGGCGATAGCTCCGCAATGATGTAATCCAAGCACTTTGCCAGTATCCACCGAGATGACTGGAGAACCAGACGAACCACCCAAGGTATCGCAAGTATATTGAATGGAATTGTAACGTGTGGAATAACCACAACTGTCACCGCCAACATCCAAGATGGCACATCTGCCATCACTGGCACCCGAATTGGATTGAGTATCCATAATTGAAAATTGCTTGGCCCTTCCAGCAGGATGACCTGGAATGAAAATGGTTTCACCCACTGTGGCGACCCGATCGTCAATGTCCAAATACCTACAAAATCAAGATTAGTTCAGCATCATATTGTGGTTAGCAATCAGCGCAACAGGAAACAAGGCAGCAAACAGCAAGTCGAACTCACCCATATTTGGAAGCCGGATCTCCATCGAGCCGAATCAAGGCATAGTCTTTTTGATAGGAAAAGTTGACAATTTCAATGCCATCATAGACATCATATCCCGCCGTGGACCCTTTACCGACATTGCAACTGGCACCCTCGGCCATGAACTGAAAGTCTGTCTTCTCCATGTCATCGACACCTCGGATGCAATGGTGATTGGTCATGAGAAGATTGTTGGGACCGACCAACCAACCCGTGCAAGTTCCGCGGCCAGCAATTTTAAGGCGGGAAATCGCCTTGCCCAAATCATATTCAGTAGGATGGGAATCCATGTAGCATTTGGCATTGGTCGAATCGTCCCTTCCACACCGTGCCATTTCTCGATGATTTTGGATGGGAAAGAGGTCTTGAGCCCTCAGATAGCGAGTAGTGTTTAGGGCACCATCACCGATTGAAGGACGATTGGCACTGTCATCAAGAATATCTTCCACAATAAGCTCATCTGGCAAGCCAGTGACAACTTCATCAATTTCAAAATCAACCTTATTCTCACCAGCTCCCAGTAAACAGAAGACTAGTAGACTCAAAGTATCTCCTTCGACGTGACGGGCCCAAAAGCTACCTAAATTGCGTCTTCCTTGAAGAGTATACTCGGCAACCAGCACACCGTCTGCATCACTAATTTCCATGCTGCACTCTTTGCTGAAATCAAAACTGGCAAAGTGAATGGAGACATAGGAAGCCCCTGGCTCTTCAATGGAATACGTAAATTTGGACCGAACAGTGCTCCCACCTTCGTCTGTAAAACTGCGAAGAGATATGGACACTTGGGTACTGTTTCCAACAATCAAAGGAGTGGCTCCAGGTAGAGTGGTGGGTGCGAGAGACGAAGGCATGTCGGAGGGACTGGCAGATGGCTCATCCGTCGGCACGCTAGTGGGCTGGCTAAATGGCTCGTTAGTAGGCAAAAATGTAGGTCGGCCGCCAACGGCAATGCTTGGTGGTTCTACGGTTAAGGTGGTTCCATTGGCTGTGTCAACAGCCTTGGATGATGCGGAAGCTGCAGGGACTATTGCTTCCGAACCCCAATCAACGCCCAAACCAATTCCAACGGCTGCTGCTACGACAAGAATTACCCAACATACAATTAGCGCTACTTTATTTGGCATTGTGTTGATTGTTTGCGGTAAAATCTTTTAAGCAGTTTCCACTCTCAAGTTGGTCTCGACCACGCAACTATATATATAAAGCGGGTACAGTACATATATTATTGGAATGACGAGATGTCGTTCAAGAAAGATACTGCGCGTATTACTGTACGCGCAGTACGGTTTTGAGCTTGCTATTTGAGCGCACATGGCCGGACGCGCAATCACCGCTTGCATTCTGAATTCTTTGTCATTCAAAGTGGACGGATGACTCACTGACTCCGACAAGACAGATGCGACGTTCATCCTCCAATCATAATAGCCAGATCCGACATGGCGAGCGGAACGCAGACTATGGCTTCAGTCATGTAATGGAAGATGCGAGTCACAATTTCATCTTCCGAATGCGTCAAAAACATCAACAAACACCATGCATTACATTGCAAACGAAACGAGGGCTAGCCGGCAAAACATATCGTCAGAGCATACCAAGGAAGAAAGACCAAGTCCTAATTACGTCTTTCAGTATGAAACTGGTGGTTGTTGCGTCCACGAAGAACCTCCACAGCAACGCATCCCAAACAATTTCATGACAATGTTCCAATCCCAACAGGTCTTTGACAAAGCGAATAGCACCGATAGCGAGATGGGTGTCGACAAATCGGTTTCGCATACTCGGTCGTTGTTTCAAAAGGCTGGCCAATTATTGCCTCCATCCAAAGTCTACCACCTAATCACATACTTGTATGCCGAGAGAAAACTGATGGTATTCTTCTTGGTTCATTTCGTGAGCACTTTGATCATTTGGTGTAAGTATAGATATCCCACAAAGGATATTACAACACAATTCCTCGATCGCTCATCATCCCATTCACTCATTCCAATCAGCCCACTTTGCAATTCGAAAGCTTGATGACCAGTTCGCTGCCGTTCCGGAAGCTGCCAACCGATACTGGTGGAAAATCATTACACCTGCTTTGGAATTTGGTTCCATGCACGCCATTCTATTCCAAATGTCCTTGATTCCATTGACCATGGCACGTTATACCATCAGCAGACTATGTGATTCCGTCTTGGGTAAAATCTTGCCCTTGAACCGTAGCCTCCGAATGCACATTCACCTCGGATACACTATGATCATCATTGTCGTTTGGGCCGTCATTTTCTTCTTTGTCTTCTTTGGGCTACTCTGTTCCGATGGCGAGCAAGCCTTTTGCGAAAAGTTCACGGAAGAAATCATGATAACTGGATACTGTATCTTGGCGTTCTTGCTTCTGGTTGGGTTCACATCTTACTTTCGGCATTCCATTCCCTACGAGATCTTCTACGCCCTTCACCATGCCGTCTTCATCATGTACTTTGTGACCATTGCTCATACTTTGGATGTCGAAGCACGAACCGGAAAGGAAAGAAGCCAGACTTTCAAATGGTTCACTTCAACCTTGTTGTTCTACTTTTGCGACCGTGCGGCCATGCATTTGAACCACAAATACCGGACCAAAGTAACAGGTTCATCCACTGTGGCAGGTACCAACGGATCTCGAATGATCATTCTCAAACTCAAGAAGCCAATCCTCTTTCAGTTCAAAGCTGGACAATACGCCTGCTTGCGAATCAACGAGATTGATAACCATTGGCATCCTTTTTCGATTGCTTCCAGTCCAAACTCAGAAGAACTCGAGTTTTACATTGGAATCCATGAAAGTAAGAGCTCATGGACTACCAGGCTTTGGGATATGCTGGCAGATGAGAAAGGCAATCCAGTCAGAAACATTCGCAAGTATGTCGAAATCATGGGCCCTTACGGAACCAGTCTCGCAAATACGGATGAGTATTCTCATATTCTGTCCCTCGGGTCAGGTACTGGCATCGTCCCCGTCTTGAGTCTCTTCAAGGAGCACGTCCAAAAGATGCTATCCCTCGATCCAAAAAGATACCTCCAGGAGCTGGAACGCCGCAAGATACGACTCAACAGAGTCCAATTTGAAATGGACAAGAGAAAGGGATCCTTTGCGCAGAAGGTTGTTGTCAGCTGCCGATCCAAACAAAAACTCGTCATGAGCAAGCAAGAGCAACTCGAAGCTTCCATCCGAGAGGACCTTATCCGACACGATGGACTCTCCAACTTGTCGGATATCCGAAGCAACATGGCCCGACTCAGAAAAAAGGCCGGCCAATCCACTCGCTCACTCTATGGTATCGTCTTGCTCTGCTTTTCTCCCGTCTTTGGGGTGGTCGTCCTCGGATTGACTATTTCTTGGAACACCACGGAAGTCGATCTTGCACCGGAGATGTTCGTTGCACTTGAAGTCATGACAGTCCTCTTTCAAACAGTTTTTGGATTTGTGTCCGTATGTGTCTGGGATTGTACTTCGATTTACAACTACATCGATCTTGTCTTCTGCGCCGTTGCTTTTTTATTTGACTGGTATTGGTTCATTGTCTACGAAATCCGAGGAGCCAAGCTCAGCCCTGACGAAATCATCCTTGCTTCTCTCTTCCACGGATACATGACCTTGCGTCTATGGAGTCGTGCTGTCAGTCCTCGCCATAAGACTTGGAAGAAGCACGTTGATGCCTATGCTGCTGCTGCTGGTTCTGCTGCCGCCAATTTGAACTGTCTCGAAATGATTTGGACAACCCGATCTGCGTCACAAGCATCCAAAATTCTTCCAGACATCATCTCGCATTACCACGAGCTGGTTGCTGCCTGGGGCTACCAGAATGCCCCAAAAGTCTGTCATGTTTCGATCCATGTCACTGATCCGGATGCAACTGCCTGTGCCTTGTTGGACAAAGAGTTTGGTGGATCTAGAGGATTGATCAAGATCACCTATGGTCGCTTGGATATTCCACGTTGGATTCAGGACCATACGCTCCGCATGATTGACAGTGAGAGTAAGAGATCCTACTCGCTTTTGGCTTTTTGTGGCTCTCCCGAGCTTGCCCATGAGATGCATCAGTCCAAGATTTCAAATGACATGATCACGGCCATCACTGGAAACAAGAAGCATCAGATGGAGTTTGTGTCGGAGAGCTACGGTGGACCACCATCCAAGAGCAAGAATAAGTTGGACGTCAAAGCTCAGACTCGTCCAGATGATGAGAATAATGAGCAGCAGTTTGGCTTGAATACTCGTTCTGATGTTCGGTACGATAATAAGAGTCCCAATGACTTTGTATATGACAAGCGGAACACATCCATGCAAAATTCCACCACCAGCCGCCCTTCGCCCAGAAAACGAGAAGAAATAGAGCGACCATTCAGTCGCTCTCCACACTGGGAAGAACGTAGCAGCAGGTCGAGAGATTTCTCTCCAAGATATTATTCATCTCTTCACGACGATACGCACAACAGAACTGGGAGGTCGGAACGAAGATCAAGCAGGACTTTGAGTGACAGGCAGAGGACTTCGTTTTCGCGTGAACAGCATGGTCATTCTAATAAGCACGTGGCGGAGCAGGATTTCGGCTTTGTATGACAGCATCTCTGACAGAAGCGAGCAATGATTGCACAATGGTAGCAGTTTTGGGCGGGGGTTGTTGAATACTTCTCCGCAATGGAGAAGAAAATTGATCTGATTCATGATCAATCTGATCAATGTGAAGTTTTGACTTCTTATTGTCAGCTTGGGATGTTTCTTCCATCACCCAATATCAAGCACATCAAAATTTCAATCAGAATCTTTG